GAGGCGTGCACGTGCAGGGGATATGGTTTTGAAGATTACGAATAAGGTGTTGGAATGGGCTGGGCGGGGGGACATGGGCCGTTTAATGGGCCGCGAAATAGATCAGCTGGTCCTTCTGTTCAGAAGCACAATTCCAATGATGGGTGTGGGCCTAATAACTTGGTCAATAGAAGAGAGATACGGCTGTGTATTAGGGCCCTAATAAGAGCCTGTCCATTAGAGTCTTGGGTTTGGGCTCGAAGGAATAGGAGAGGAGATCCAAAGTGAAAGGGTTGGGCCAAGCCAAGTGGGGAATTCTGCAGCGGATCTCGGTGAAGTTAATAAACACTGGACGCGATCGGAGAAAGAGAATTGGGTTAGAGCCAGTTCTAATAGCAGTCACAATGGGAAAAGGTTTTGCCATGGGAGTTGCTATGTGCAGATGGCTTCGGATAACTTTCGGTCTCTGCCATTAACTTCTTTTGAGGATGGTGATCCCACAGTTAGAGATGGGAAGTGTTGGTCACGAAAGGAGAAACAAAAATGGGTTTGCCTAAAGTAAAGCCAACCTGGTATGCCTTTTTTCCCTAACTCTCGGAGCTTTCTGTCTGCTCCTTCTTCTTCTTCTACTCCTTCTTGTGGGGTGTTGAGGAGGGAAATGGGGGTGGAGGTTGACCGGCAATTGGAGAGAAATGGGGTGTTGTCACCTGTGGTGGAAGTGGATTTGGAGGGGACGGGGCTGGATGCAGAATTAGAGGATGAGGTGGGACAGGTGAGGAATCATACACTGGATATTTTGCTGAGCTCTTCTCCCAAGTTGTTAAGGGAGAATGTATCAGTGATGGCAGCTTCGGTAGGTCTGGATGGAGTTACGGTGTGTGTGGGACGTGACTCAAAATTTCAGTTAAGTTAGGAGGCTGCATCAGTATTGGTGAAGGAATTAAGGATGTATAAAGGGTTGAAGGGATTGAACCGTTTGCTAGATTTTGGTTTAGAAACAGTAGGGGATGACTCTGAAGGGGATTTTGGCTCACCTTTGGCTTTCAATGGGTTTGAGGCTTCGACTAATGATAGTGGTGACAGATTGGGGGGAGGGGGTAATGATAGGAATGCTATGGAGATGGTTCCATGGGAGGATTCTACCAGTTTGGAGATGCAACCGTTATGTGTATTACAGCCGGAAGGGGGGAGGGAGTTCTTTGCAACAGGTTGTGAAAACAGAGGGGTGGAGTGTGTGTGAATGATAACATTGATAATGTGAGCAGTATTTTGGGACTATCTTTTCAGCCAGATGAGGAGCAGGCTTGTTTGGTGATGAATTCAATTGTGGAGGGAAAGAATGGGGAGGATGTTGGGAGTGTGAATAGAACAGATAGAAAGAAGAAGCGGTTATCCCCGTGGAGAGGCGGAAGGGAGATTCGAGGCTTGATTAATAAGGGGAATGCTTTCATAGGAGGGCATTTTGGATTTTGTCCTTGTTGCTAGGGAGTGTGTGGATGATAGATTGAGGAGTGGGTTCCAGGGGTCTTGTGCAAGTTGGATGTGGAGAAAGCTTATGATCATGTTCGTTAGAGTTTTTTGCTATATTTGATGGTAAGGATGGTTTTTGGGGAGAAATGGAGGAATTGGATTGAGTTCTGCATTTCTTCAGCGAGATTCTCGGTGTTGGTGAATGGGGGTCCCGACTGGTTTCTTTGGTAGTTCGCGAGGTTTGCGTTAGGGAGATCCATTATCCCCACTTCTGTTCATCATTGTGATGGAGGGGGCTTAGTAGATTGATGGGGAGGGCTATGGAGGTGGGTTTCATCAGGGGTTTTAGGGTGGGAAGGGATGTTATGCATCAGCTGGAGATTTTTCACTTGTTGTTTGCAGATGATACTCTTGTCTTTTGCGAGGCTGAGGTGACTCAGATGAGATATTTGAGGTCGGTGTTGATCTATTTTCAGACAGTCTCGAGTTTGAAAGTGAATGTGGGGAAGAGCGCTTTGATTTCAGTGGGTAAGGTTCTGGAGATTGAGGTATTAGCTTCTGTTCTTGGTTATGGAGTTAGTTATTTTCCGATCTCTTACTTGGGTTTGCCTCTGGGGGTTTCTTCGAGGATTGTAGATGTTTGGGATCCGGTGGTGGAGAGGGTGGAGAGGAGGCTTGCGGGGTGGAAGAAGCAATATTTATCAAAAGGGGGGAGGTTACCTTGTTGAAAAGCACTTTGTCGAGCACTCCCACATCTTATTTATCCCTTTTCCAGATTCCGTCCTCGGTTGCTGCTTGTATTGAAAGACTTCAGAGGAACTTCTTCTTATGGGGAGGTTTGGGGGATGAGTTTAAGTATTATCTGGTTCGTTGGGAGCAAATGTGTAAGCTTGTTAAGTTTCGAGGTATTGGGATTAGGCGATTGTTGCCTTTTTTTTTTGATAAGTAATAATGAATTAAAAAAGGCATTCAAAAGGGGAATGCATCCCTTAAACATTAGTGGAGCCGGGGGGCTAAGGCCCTAAAGAATCCAAAAAATTAATTAAATCATCAGAAGAGGAGCAAGAACTCCTCTTCACATAACTAAAGAGAGAATGAATAATTAAAAGTTTCAGCGTCGCCGTAGGCGACTGTTGCCTTTTAACAGGGCCTTGTTAGGTAAGTGGTTGTGGAGGTTTGGTATTGAGCGGGATAGATTGTGGAGGAGGGTGGTATTGTGTCGCTTTGGGGAAGAGAGAGAAGGCCGGGGGGGGGGGGGGGGGGGGGGGGTTCGGCTGTGGTGTCTTTATCTGGAGGTGTCGGTGTTTGGAAAGACATTCGGAAGAAATGAAATGAGTTTTCTAAGCATATCAGGTTCAGAGTTCATGATTGTAGGGAGATTCGGTTTTGGGAGGATGTGTGGTGTGGAGACCACACTTTAGCATGTTCCTTCCATAGATTGTTTAGGATTGCGGTGGATAGGCATGCCTTGGTGGCTGACTACTTTTGCCTTGATAGCTGGAGACTAGTTTGGGATGTGCTTTTTCAGCGATCTTTTCAGGATTGGGAGATGGATGATGTGTTTGATTTTTTAGAGTTGTATAGCCAGGTGATCCGGGAAGGAGGTAGGGATTCTCTTGTTTGGATTTCTTCTGCTAGGGGAATGTTTACAGTGAGATATTTTTTCGGATGCCTTGTGGACACGGATGGGGTGGTATTCTCTTGGAAGGCAGTGTGGCGAACTAAGGCACCATTGAAAGTGGCCTTTTTTGCTTGGACGGTTGTGTGGGGTAAAATTTTGACGCTGGATAATTTGAGAAGGAGAAAGCTTATCACGGTGAATTGGTGTTGCATGTGTAAGTGCAATGGCGAGTCGGTTAATCATCTTTTGTTGCATTGTTAAGTGGCGGTCGATTGTTGGAACCTTTTGTTAGGTTTATTTGGAGTTTGTTGGGTCATGCATAGATTTATGAGAGGCCTAATGGACACTTGGAGAGGGGGTTGGGTGGGAGCACAGGCTCGAGGGTTCTGGAGGATGGCGTCTCTGTGTCTTTGGTGGTGTTTGTGCAGAGAGCGGAATAGAAGATCCTTTGAAGGAGAGGAATCTTTCATCAATGTTTTGAAATCTTTTGTTATTAGCTCTCTTTGTTTTTGGGGTTCTGGGTAGACTATGCTCTTCTACTGAGGAGAGTGTTGAGTTTGTTAGGGACGCGGTCCCCTTTTGAATGCTTTTTTAATGAATTGCTTATTTATCAAAAAAAAAAAAAAAAAAAAAATGGATAAGCATGTTTGTTAAGCTTAAATTGTTTTAAAAAAAATCCAACACAATAAAAAAAAAGGCGTGTAAACTTATTTGATAACCAAAATTTGCAATACAAAACCACAATTTGCAATATACTCTTTCAGCAAATAAATGACTATGGCAGACTTGAGGAGACTCCTATTTAGGGTCCTCAATATTAGTGAGATTTGAGTTTTTATTGCTTTATTGGGTATCTCATGTTTTAATGTTCTAAGATTAGAAATCCAAGGGCAGTATTTCATGAAAAGGATGATGTTATTGTTTTCTCCATTGACAGTTTGATTGTCATGCCCTTCTATTTAGTCCATTGCTATGTTATGTAGATTGAAGTACTTGTTATGCTCTATATGTAGGACCTCCTTGAATCCCAATTTTTAGGATAAGGGGATTCGGCTTGAAATGTATTCAAAATTTTGTATCAGTACATGGAATCATCATGTGCATTTAGATACTTTATATATTGCAAATAGTAGAATTTACGACGTTATTGCCTTTTAAGGTTTTATACGATTAGATTTAATTAAAAAGTATATGGTGAGAAAGAAGTTTTCCATCTATGTAAGAGTAGGAAGTCCTTCTATGCTATCAAATTTGAGCTTTAATCTTCTTTCATAATCACCTGTAAGGATAAGTATCTGATTTGAATTCGTGTAGCAAATCATGCCCATATGCATATAGTGTCCTGTCGAAGTGGGTACGGTGAGGGAAATAAGATAGTCTATGCAACATAGGGATTTTGAGGTTGAATATTGACTCTTACTTTTACAAAAATGAATTGAATGCATTTGGTTTAATTTTGATGTAAAAGATATTATTAACGGTTTTAGCTACTGCTTTTTGCTTTGGCTCTCCATAATTCAAAATTGAGTGCAAATTCCTGTTGAGCTTGGAAGCCTACTCTCTACCTTATAAGACTCCTTTGCTTGTGTTTGAGAAATAATTGAATGATCTTTTTGTTTTCATTTTGAATTGCTCCCATAAACAAGCACATCCGGGCTTGGCAGATAATCTTTTTCTCTATACCTTTTTGTGCTGTGAGTTTTTTCAATCAGTTCTTGCATCTTACGCATTTGGTATATTACTTAGATGATTTTATTTTTGTCTTTCAAATTCATATATTATGATTGTATTGTTCTTGAACTCATGTAATGAAGATTGGGATGTAAGAGCTTTTGTCATAGCAGATGCATATATATAGCTATATATATTTTTTCGGGAACCATTCCATCTGTTCTTGCCTTTATGCCATCTTAAATATTTTATTTCATAGGTTACATCGAGCCTGTGATGGTAATACTTCATGAACGGGAGCTCACTTGGGCTGGGCGTGTTTCTTGGAAGCATCATACTTGTATGATTTCTGCCCTTAGTATTAGCACAACTTCGAGGCAGCATCCACTCATATGGTCAGCAGTTGTAAGTTCTATACTTGATAAAAACTAACCTGTTAATCAGTTGAACCACTTTGCAGAAGTTCCTTTATTATTGTTTAACAGTGCAGTAGCAAGAGAACCTCTTAAATGGATGGTAATTAGTTGAGTAATATTCCCAAAACAAACTGGGATTGCTTCTTAATCTCTTAAGGCTCAAGACAGTTGCCTCTCTGTTTTGTGAAATATCTCATATTTAAGATTATTACAAATCAATTATTTCAGAAAATTGTGCATCCAGAAATTAAAATTATGCCGCTTGGGTCAGCTTTTCTTCCACTGGCCCATACCGTGATAAGAAGTGCATGTAACTTACTATGTTGTGTTCACTTGCTATACTAGGGAGGAATTTCCTCGAGGTGAGTCTGTTTAGTCACTGATCATGTAGTGACTGAGCTCACATGTGATTTAAATATGTTAAATAGGAAGATCAGTTTCAATTGTGCCACCTCCAGTTTGATATGCTTTATTGCATTCTACTTGGTACATCAGTATTACTATGGAACTGTTTTTTTTTTTTTGTTTTCGTGGCAGTGTCTATATATTTCATTAAGATGGTAAAAAAAAAAAAAGAAATTACTATAGTTTTTGGTTTTGTTTCTCTTTAGGATCTTGCTAAAATCATGGACTACTGATGTACAGAATTCTTAAAACATAAATATGTCGTATTACCTCGAATGAATTTCCATTTATTCGAGGAGGTCCTGTTGATTTTGAAGAAGAAATAATAAAAGTAAAAACAAGGAGTCGCATTTTGTTTTTAAGTAATCATCACTTTGTTGTCCTACTTAATTTGACACATCATTGTATTCTAGAATAACTCCACTCAAATTGTCAAAGTCTTTTCCCAATTATTTAGTACACATCACTATGTACTAGGATGCGGATTATTTTAAAGTCTGGCCATCGCCGAGTTTTTTTGACATATAATAAGTTTCTGAAACAATGTGCTTTTTTTTTCTTGGTGGGGCACGGCGCCCGCGGGGGGAGAAATGAGTTCTGGTAGGGGTCCAATTGAACTTTCTGACATTTGGCTTTAATTTGATCATCATCCAAAATATGCTATTTCTATCTGATGCAAAAGAAACAGGAAATAAATGGAATTAGTTATTTTGTTTCAATTAAACATCATAAGCTATGAAGTCACAAGCTTAAAAATGGCCCACCTTCGATTATGAATAATGCTTGTATTCTATATATTTTTGTTTGTATAGGTATATGTTGGAAATGATTTATATATAGGAGGTTATATTAATCCAGATTTCTTACTTATGGAATTGTGAAAGATGACTTACATTCATATTGTATTCTCTCTCTCTCTCTCTCTATCTATCAGAATCTCCCACATGATGCATACAAGCTTCTTGCGGTGCCATCTCCAATTGGTGGTGTTCTTGTTATTAGTGCAAATACGATTCATTATCATAGTCAGGTAAACCTCTTTGTTACATTGGCAGTTCAACTGCAACTGTGGCTTTTAATTGGTTATGTGCTCTTTTCCTGCTTCATCTTTTATTTTCTGGATTTGAGTTAGTGATCTTTGCTTGGGCAGTCAGCATCTTGCATTTTGGCTTTGAACAACTTCGCTGTATCTGTTGATAGCAGGTCAGGTTCTCTCTCTCTCTCTCTCTCTCTCTCTCTCTCTCTCGGTTGTTCCATTTCATAATTGGTTCCTATAAATCAAGGACCTTGTTTCATATTGTAACTTATGCTTGCATGGAAAACTGAAAATGTTAGAATTCGAATTATGGTAGTTCTTTTTTTTCTTTTCTTCTTGTTGAACTATCATTGTGTTAGGTTGGGTTGTGCTTCTTCACCCTCCTCCATTCAGAAGTATCTGCTGGGTTTCCCCATATTGGAATAAATTTATTCACCCATGAACAGAAGAGTTGTCCCTTGCTGTATGTAAGATCATTTTGGTAGGTCGATTTTAGGAGTAAAAGGAAGGGAAGGGGTGAGTTTTCATTGTTTGGTATGAAAGAAAAGAGTAGGAAAATGAAAAGAATAAGAAAATTGACCTCCCTAGCGCCACCCCTTTCCTTCCTCCCAAATCTGGAACTGAAAGGAGGAGGAAGAAGTTTTACTTTTACACTCATTTCCTTCAAAACAACACTCTTGCATTGTATCAAGTGTATAATGGTAAAACAAGGTAACACATCTTTCTTTTCATTCTTGCCAAGCAAACAAGGGGAGGGAAAGGCGTATCCTTTCATAGGGTATATTTTTCCTTTTTACCTTATTCTTCTGAATCTTTTAGCCCTCCTACCAAGTGGAGCATTTACCCGTCTCTTCTATTCTCAAATATATTGTAGCTGATTTCAAATGCCATGGTGATTGACGTAGATTTGCAAGTGCTCATTTGTATGATATTTTGTCCTTGTATGAGCTACATGTTGGTTGTATATCACCTGTCTTAAAAAATTTTGTCCACATTATAATAGAAGTTGAGAAATTAAATAAAATTGAATATAAGAATCTTGTTTAATTTGTGTAATAATAATAATAATAATAATTATAATTATTATTATTATTATTATTTTTTCCTAAATTATTATTCTTATTTCTGAATGGGAAGTTTTATACAAGAAAGAAGCAATAATACTTTTATTCCATTATTCATAGTCTTTTTCATTTATTTAGTTATTTTTTTGCAGCAGTGAGTTTCTTTGACATCATTCACTGTTGTCAAGTTTGCATGTTTGAATATGCAATATATGTGAAATGTATGTATATGTTCTTTAGCTTGTTTCTGAGCTAAAGATCAATCTCCTAAAATAGTTCAGAATACCATGAAGAGGTGCCTTGTTAATCTTCTTTTACAAGAAATTTGAACTATGGATTGGTTCAATACTGCAGCCCCTTTGTCCCGTCTACATAATTAGGCCTTCTGTTGGATCTAAAAGCATGTGTTTCTCATCAATACTCTGATGATCTAATATTAATAGCATTTTGAATTTCATTACAGTCAAGAGATGCCGAGATTAAGTTTCAATGTGGAGCTAGATGATGCTAATGCAACTTGGTTATCAAATGATGTGGCGATGATGTCAACAAAAACTGGGGAACTACTTCTGCTCACACTTGTTTATGATGGCCGGTGTGTATTGTCCCCTTTTCTCTTTTTTCATTTTCTTTCTTAAGATGTAAAAAGGAATTTTTAACTGTTATGCTACTGACTAGCGGCTTTGAATGGTTGTTGATAAGTAATAGTTTCTTTAGAAAGCATCTTTATATGAAATGTACCTATTTGTACGCTGTAAGCACTTGCCCACACTCAATTTTTTGTTTACTTTAATTTTGTGTATATATATATAATTTTTTTTTTGTAATTAATTTCAAAATTGTCCCCTCAGAATTCTTAAAGATATCTTTAATTATTATCATGGTTGTAGACTATAATCCTTGGTCCTCCAGTCCAAACTCCAAAATGTATTGGACACCCGACGTCCATTCCAGTTTTTAGTGAATTAAATCCAATATTAACACCTAAATAACATAAATTAAAGCAGACTTGCAGTGAATAGTCAAGTAAAGTTGCCCTTTAACTAAATTTCTGGCTTTGTCGTCTTGACATATTCAAAGCAAAGTTTCCCTGTGGCAAGGGACGTAAGGTCTATGTTCTTGGTTGCTTTTGGTGTGAATTGGGTTGTTTCCGAATCAAGGGTTGATATGTTAGAGGCTTGGAAAGGGTGTACTGTGGAGAGCTAGAGCTAGAGATGCTTGGAGGGCCACTCCCCTATGTTTATGGTGGGGTTTGTGGCACGAGAGGAATAGGAGATCCTTTAAGGGCGAGGAGTCCCCTATTTATTCTCTCAAATTCAACATACTGCCTTCTCTTTTTTATTGGATTAAGTGGCGGAATTATATATATATGGATACTCTTTTGGATTTTGTAGATAGTTTGAAACTATAGCGTCACCGTGGGCGTCTTTTGTTCTTCAGGAGTGCTCCCCTCTTGAGCACCGTTAATGAAATTTTGAAACTCAAGCACCTGTTTGCCCCTACGGGGACTTGAATCCTCACCATCCACTTTGGGAGGTAGAGGAGACACCACTAGGTTACACAACCTTTGGTTATTTGAACAAGACTTATCACCAGAGTGCAAGATTAATCCGTTTCGTTTCCCTTTTCTTATATCAAGTATGAATATATATTTTAGCACTTTATGACAATCATCTAATTAAGTATACTCAATGTATAAATCTCATAAATTAGAGTAAAAATACCAAGTAATATTAACCGGTTCTTCATCACCGTGGGTCATAGGTTATATAACTAGTTGTTTTGTTGCCGATGGTTAGAGCGATATGTTGCCCGAAGATTATGTTTTTATAGTCAGATAATGCTTAAAAAAATAATCATATATTCAGTTAATGTGAGATAAGATGTAAAAAAAACCTTTACAACTCTTTGCATTAGTGTTTTGTTTTTTCTTTTTATGGAGTTTAATTAGTGTTGTTAAAGGCGCGCCCAGGCTCGACTAGGCTCGAGGCTCAGGTTTAGCGCCTGTTGTCATCCCAGGGTGATGTTTACTAGGCGCGCGCCTCGGTTGCGCCTCATCCTATTTGTGAGGCGCGGCTCTGATATTTGTTTAAAAAAATACGATTGTTCTATTTCTTAAGCCAAAAAGGGTACTTTTGGCAACTTAATAAACAAAAAAGAAAGCCCAAGCATACGATAGAAGGAACTTTTGTACAAAAGAATAAAAAAATAAGCAAGCCCAAGAGTCGAAATGTTAACCGAATAGCGATAGAATGAGATTGTGAGACGAAGACGAAGTCCTAGTTGTAGAGATGAACGACGAAGCCACGTCAGTTCTTTCTTTCTTTCTTTCTTTCTTTCTTTCTTTCTTTCTTTCTTTTTCTTTTTCTTTTTCTTTTTTTTTTTTTTTTTTTTTTTTCTCTCCCTCTTCTTATCTTTGTTTACATCTCTCTCTTCGTCTAGTTCTCCTCTCTGTCTTTTTTTTTTCTTCTTAACAAATTTTTTTTTTTTAAACATTTATTTCTTTTTGTGCTTTGTTTTTTTTTTTTGATAAGTAAGATTTTATAAAAAACGCTCTAAAAAGGGGAGCAAAACCCAACGGAACAATCTTTTTGTGCTTTATTTTGCCATTCAAAAAAACACATTTTGCTTTGCCTTTCAAGAAAACAAATTTGTGCGCTGTTTTATGGTTGTTGGATGCTTGTATAGTTAATGGATTTACTTTTTTATATTTGATATTAATTTTTAGAATATTGATATGACTTACGAGATATGAATGTTATTGTGGTAGTTTAATTTTCAATTGTGCGCCTCACTTCACTCAGGCGCGCGCCTTGCCGTGTGCCTCGCGCCTAGGCACCAAAGGACCTCCAGCGCCTTGGTGCGCCTTGGCCTTTAATAACACTGAGTTTAATACACAAATGGGTGTACTATATATTTGGGCAAAAAAAATAAAATGAATATTAACTTACGTATATGTATCATATTTGTATATATGTCTTCTTTATAATGCAAGCATTGACTAACAATACTTTTGAATGCTTTCTATACTAATCAAAAAATAAATAAAAAATGATGTGGATGGCAGTTTGCTGCACTAATTTGTGCTATGATATCATTCTCTGAAGTTTTACTCACGTAATGCTTTGTTACAGTATGCATAAATTTCTTTTTAAGTGATTTATTGTGTTTTTATTCTTCTGTCAGTGATACATAGATCACTGGGGAGACATACATACTTCAATTCTTCTTGATAATTGTCATGGGTTTCCACTTCAAATTCTTGCAAGGTCCCTTCACATCTCTTAGAAAGCTACAAGTAATACTAGAGTTGAAGGCTTGCAAGCACTAATGGATTGAGCTCTGTATCATCTTCTTGATCATAAGATGGTATGTTTTGGCAAGTAGAACTCCTCAGACAATTTTCCCTAGAGACTTGGGAGTCAAAAAGAAGGTTTTTCAAGAGGGTTTGAACATTTTTCTGGCGCTGCAGTGGTGGCTTTCTTCATTCCCTTCTCCGTCCTCATTTTGGCCCAAACTTTCAGCTGATTATAAAATTGCAACACCTTTAGATGATTTGAGCTTTGTTACAAATTTAATACCAAAAAATGAAGAAACTGATAAATGCCCGAGCTAAAGCATTGAAAGGCTTCGGTTTAGGAACTTTATGGCCCCCAAACTGCTAGGGTGTTAGAAACACAGACTTGGGTTGTGCCTAGCCAAAACTTGAGGTCAAGGAGGCTAGGCATTCATCTGTAGTTCAGCCATAAACCAGAGTGAATACATTTTTTTTTTTGACAAGTATAAACCAGAGTGAATACATATGTGCACAGGCATAGGTTTCACTTTCTAGTTGATTCATGCTATTCCTTTTCTTCTCCCTCTTATTGGGTTGTGCCTAGCCAAAACTTGAGGTCAAGGAGGCTAGGCATTCATCTGTAGTTCAGCCATAAACCAGAGTGAATACAATTTTTTTTTTTTTGACAAGTATAAACCAGAGTGAATACATATGTGCACAGGCATAGGTTTCACTTTCTAGTTGATTCATGCTATTCCTTTTCTTCTCCCTCTTATTGGTTCTTTGATGTATAAGCATTTATCTTTTTGCATCACATTACTGTTTTTGCTCTGCAGGGTTGTGCAGAGACTCGATCTTTCAAAATCTAAAGCATCAGTACTTACCTCGGTCAGCCACTCTTCATATTATTTTACTTTTGACTTCGAATCATCCCAATTGGTTGTATTCTTTTTCTTTCATATTTAACTAATTTTCTACTGGTCTTATAGGGAATCACAACAATTGGAAACTCATTATTTTTTCTGGGTAGTCGGTTAGGAGATAGCTTGCTCGTGCAGTTTACTTGTGGAGCAGGAGCATCCGTGTTGCCTCCTGGTGTGAAGGAAGAGGTGTGTCTTGGAAGTTCATATTACTTTCTTTGCTATTTTTTTGTTTTTGTTTTTGTTTTTGTTTTTGTTTTTGCACTTTTAAGAGTTTCTTGTACTACAGTTTCTCTTTTTAATGCTTTTACTTGTGCTTCTTGTTTGGACATTGCTGTCTTCGTTGTTGCTTAACAATTCGATTCAGTATTTAATTCTGAATAAATTAAGTGAATATCCAATTATGTTCATTTGATAGCACAATGTGGACACCAATTAAAAAATAAGCTCCACTTAAATTGATGAAAACTTTTAAGTGAGGGAGAGTTCACTTTTCATTTGAACACTTCAAACAAGTGAAAACAAGATTTCAATTTAGAATTAGCACTTAAAAACTTTACCAAAACTGAAATTTATGCATTGAAAATGTGTAACAGCTGAATTATAAGTGTTGAAGGTTCAACTGTTAAGTGCTAATTATAAACTGGCAGTGACAATTGCTTTGGTATTCAATTTAATTTTAAGTGTTCTGTGATAAGTGCCCATCACTTAAATTTTTTGAGTCATTTTAAGTGGAATTTATTCGTTTAAGTGTATTCAAACAATATTATCACCCTTAATTTTAGAATCACTTAATCTATCCAGAATTGAGCACTAAACTGAGTGATCAAACAACAATTCTAAGAATTTTCGGTGCTTAATTTTTAGTTTTATCAAATAACATCTTAAATTGTTAATCGATTGGTCTTCTAGTGCTGAATGTTGCTTAAAATGTCCATTGCTCCATGGTTTTAGATGTATTATGGAATTTTTGAAAATGTTTTATTTTCTTTTATTTTGAATTCTTATATATATATTTCTCCTGAATGAGTTCTTATGTGTGTGTGTGTGTGTGTATATATATATAATATCATATATAAATTATATATATATATATATATATTGATAAGAATAATTTATATGACCTCCCGTGGAAGGGATGGTATATTTGCACTCCAGATAAGTACTCTCTCCACTTGATTATTTTAAAAAAGGACATGATACAATTACTAAAACCTGGAGTGTGAGACAACATTTGTCCTTTTATTGGAATATTATGTTATTTCTTTCTTCTCTCTCTCTTTCTTTCTCTCTCTTTAAATACAAGTGGAGAGTGCAAAGTACTTGTGTAAGGTGCAAATAATTTCCCTCTAGAAAAACAAGGAGCAATATTACATTTGCAATTCATTTTTTGTCTTTGAAGGTTGGGGATATTGAAGGAGATGCCCCTGCAGCGAAGAAACTGCGGCGATCATCTTCGGATGCTTTGCAAGATGTGGCTAATGGCGAGGAGCTTTCCCTGTATGGCCTAGGTCCGAATAATGCCCAATTGGCACAGGTTGAGTATAAAGCTGCGGGAGTTCTTTTAATTTATTTAACTTTTATTTTTCCCCTCAATATATTTTTATTAGAGGGAGCAAGAAGGCACCCTGCCTACAGCAATAACCACCAAGTTCCAGGACTATGTGGTGGCTTCCTTAAGAATTAAGTCATATTTTTTCCTTCTATGTCCTCTAGAGCATTGTGTTAACTGATAAATTTAGTTAAAATCTCTGGCCATGAGTTTTGTCCTGCCAGCTGTTTAAAAGGTGTTGGAGGACATTAGGACAAGGTACTCTGCTAAACTAAAGTGGAGCCGGGTGCAATGATAGCTTAGAAATTTATGGCCATCCATCAATGAGTAAGAGGGATATTGGCTGTTTGTCTTATTTAACAGCTATCATGAACACCAATTCTCCTGTTCACTTTGTTTGCTTTTTGGGACAGTCTGGCAATGTGAAAGTTGTGCCGGAAACTACTACTTCCTATACACTCTCTGAAGATTCTTGAAAGAACCTCTTTTGTTCTTCTGAATTCCTAACGATGTTTGTGACCTTAATTCCTAATGCCACACATTTGTGCTTATTTGCAGCTTTATTGCATGACATATTATTATTGTTTATATAACATTATTTTCCTTTTTCTTTTTCATTTTTCTTTTCAAAATATAAGAGACTAATTATTAATTTTTCTTAAATTTGTCTGTGAACTGGAAGTGATACATCTCATTTTATGAATATGAAAATCGGTTTTATTATTTCATGTTAATTCTTTATATTGTTGATACCGTCCTAGTTCATTTTCTAGTAACACTATGTATTCTTGATGCATGCAGAAGACTTTCTCGTTTGCGGTGAGGGATTCACTGATCAATGTTGGCCCTTTGAGAGACTTCTCTCAAGGTTTAAGAATAAATGCTGACCCAAATGCAACAGGAATTGCTAAACAAAGTAACTATGAGCTGGTTAGTCTTGGAAGTTACTTTTCTAGTTCTTCTAACTTTACACTAGTGATATTGTATTGTGCTTCTAGTTAAACATATTCTTGGTGGCTAGTTGTGGATGTGTTGGGGGCGGCAGTTTACACAAAACTTCCAGCCCTCCAGGTGGCATCACCACAAAGGTCAATTTCTCACTTTAGCACCTGACAAACAACACTTTCCAAAGAGACGATTCTGTAATATCCAATTGACCTGGGGACACTTCTCCATGGGACATCTCTCACTCTCTCAATATAATTGTGATGCCCTAAATATTTAAATTTAATTATAAAATTTATTAGGGCTTTATCCAAGTGGGAATAGAAATTCTAATTGGAATAGGTTATATATATTGCCAAACAGACTTAAATAATACATGTGTAAATAGGTTAATAGAACTAATTAGTTCCACATAAAATATATTTGAATATATGTATATATATATATATATATATATATATATATTGTGTGTGTGTGTATGTTTTTCCTTAGTTTAGCCAATTTTATCATGAAAGGTAAAAGTGGGTAAAGTAACCTTGTGTTGATTGTCCTGTAAATGTAGGTTTTCTTCATCGTCTGCAAAGAAAAAAAAAAAAAGAAAAAATAAATCAATTGAATTCCGGAAGGCTTCTTGAAGTGCTTCTTTAGGAGTTAAACTTCCATTTGTCCATATTTCAAGAAAAAGTATCTCTTGCTTTTCATTCGCATTCCCATAAGAATAAATACTATGATTCGCATATATATATATATATATCTACATATATTGGCCGTAGATATCTAAGAATTTGGGAGAGCAGAGTATTGGAAGGGAGACTCACGAAGCTTATTCAGATAGTCTCCATGTGTTCCTGAAATGTCAGTCCCCCCACTCGCTGGACACTGGGCCAATATCTCGGGTTTGGACGAATGAGCAAGAAGTAAGATTACCTCTAGCCATCAAGCGGCACAGTTGGTTTGGGCTTTATGGTGTACCCTAGGGTTTCCAAGGTGTTCCCTTAGTGGTTTACACAGCTTGTCTTAAATGGAGGAGACACCATGTGACTTGTTATAAAACAATCTTCCACAATGTGGGAGCATCCATTGGACTAAACCACTTACACGTGGCAGCAATCTGTTGGACTATTTGGTGGCAAGACAAACATAATTATCCAAGGTTATTAAAATAAGCACCAAGTTTTTCAACACTTTTTCACAAGAAGATTTGAAGTTTGTTTATTCACAAGGCAAAAATAAATTTTATTCACAACAAGACAAACATAATGTTTTCCATTAAAACAAGAACTAAAAGGGCAGGGGTAACCTCAGGATCCCTAGTTCTCCTTTACTGCCTCTCTCTCTCTCTCTCTCTCTCTCTCTTCCCCTCTCTGTACGTCATTGGTTTCCATCTTTGTCCAGTCCAGAGGGACCTCCAGTATTTCACGTGTAATACTCCCATCACCCCCAAGAACACAGACACTAGTCATACAAGTGGAAGTACAATTTCTTGTTAACTACTGTTTTGTAAAATTTCACCGTTAATTGCTTTGACATTTGGTTCCTTATTCATTTATAATTGACTTGGACCAACCTTCTAAAAGTAGCAAATCCTATCACACCAGTAGTTTATAATTCTGAGATTTGAATATATTACATCATTGACCTTTAGTTTTTTGCTTGGAAATTTCAGGTGTGCTGTTCTGGCCATGGGAAGAATGGGGCTCTCTGCGTGCTTCAGCAGTCAATTCGAACAGAAATGATTACTCAAGTGTGTTCCTTATCTGTAGTTTCTTTGAGTTGCTTGTTTGAAAATTCGAGTGTTTTTGGCTTGTTTTTATTTCGTCACTTGCACAGATTTTGTGGCATTCTTTTCTGGAGCTATCAGGCATATCAGAGAATGTTTAGAAACATTAAGTGGTTTCAAAATAAGAGATGCCTTGCATGCTATAAGGTGTAAATGATACGAGATTTTTTATTTTATTTATTTTGTGTGTGTGTGTGAGAGTTCGTCATTTTACATGTGTTGTTGAACTTATCAAATATTTTTTTTTTTACATGTGTTGTTGAACCTGTGAACCTATTGACTTATGGAACACTTGATTGACTAAATTTTGCTTGAATGGTTGATAAGTGCAAAGATTTTGTACAAAAATGGCTTGCTTAAGCTTTACCGTTGCTTTCTTGAGTCCTTCAGATATATCTTGGGTTTAGAAGTTTGTTGTCCTGTGCCTTTTGATTTGTATATAGCTAGAATTAAGTATATTAAGTACAAGTGAACAGTCAGTAACCTTAAAGAGAACTTTGAGTTGTTCTGAAGATTTTCACTTGGCATCCTTTACTGTTGTCCCTGGTAGATTGTGATGCTTTTTAAAATGTGCAATGGAAAAGAATTGGGTGGGTGCACTTGTTCAATGACGAAAGTATTGTACTTGTGGCTACCTCTTTTAAATTTTACTTTTTTATCCCAAGCTAGCATATACTTTTTGATGCCATCATCATTTATTTTCATCCTTGCCTGATCTCATTTATATGAGGTCTCCCATATGATTTCTCTTCTTCCATATTTCCTATTGTAAGTTATGTCTCTTACCATATCTAATTTCTAAAGGTATTTTTACTACATCTGTTAATTTGCTCTGCCTCCTTGCCTCTCACCTTCTATTTAAATTAATATATATATATATATATTTGTTTTTGTGCATTTTCTGTTATACGTTGTCTGTACCACCTAAGCCCACTTTATTTTATTTTAAATTAATAGGTAATTTTGTTCAATAGTTTTGTTTTATTGATTCTTTTGGATGATGTTCCGATAATTTTAAGCCTTTAACTAATATCTTATATATATATATATATATTTTGAAGTTGTGGTATTGATTGTGGTATAAGAAACATTATCGTGTTATTCTTTGCTCACTCTAAAATTGAAAAAGTGAATTCCCATAAAAAAAGAGTTGGAGTGAATTATTCCACTCAGACCGTTGTGCCTAAAGTTAGGGTTTTTTTAAGCATTGAAATGAATACCATGACAAATCTAGTGGTGCTTGTTGGTTAGATTAACTACATCTAGAATTTATTTATTTATTTTGGAAAAAATTTCACCTATTTTTTTGTGTGTATTTCTCGCCTCGCACTCTCTTAGGTGCCAGAGTCATCTACTCTGGTGACCTCATCTGAAACGATTCTCTGTCATTTTGTTTCTCTTTTTTTTTTTTTTTTGGGCTCGTCTATGAAATCGTTTTCTGGAGATCACGAGACTTCCTCGGATCTCGCAAGGAGGTACAGTAAAGAGCGCAAAGCCATTTTGAATACCTTCGATTTATCTAAATGATCTCTTTATTGCGAGGCGCTGGGACGTTCTGAAGTCGTGTTTGGTGGGAAAATTTGATAAAGAAGTTGGTGACAGGGCTCAAATCGCTGATTAGGCTTCCTGTGCCTGGCATATCTCTTGTTGAGGTGGTGTATTGCGATTACCAGACACTCTTTTCCTGTTTCGTCTCCCTATCACATGCTTGTTGATTTTTAGAGACGGAACTTCTTTTTATATTTCATCGTACAAGTTTATATAGGAAAAAGGAAAAACTATACAAGGAAAGAAAGTCTGAAACATATCCCCACAATCTGCTCCCTAAATCTGCTCGTAATTTACAATAATCATATTAATCAAATCTCTAACTTACAACAATCAATCATGATAATAGAATCCCTAAATTAAAGGAGCTAAATATGGCTAATATTCGCTATCACAACTATGAACTTCCAGCACTCCCCCTTAGCTGGAGCATAGATGTCTCGAGGATGTTGGCCCCCATGGGGAGTGATTGTGAGGACCTCTGTGGGTGGGTGCGAGACACTGGGTGAGCTACCACACTGGTAGGCTACGGGTGCCATGATCCCACATCGCCTGGGAAAGGTGAAGGAGAAGTGCTATGTGTAGCTTCAACACTCTTTCATGATACAACACGTTTTAAAGCCGTGATGGACATGAACCCATCAGAACTCCACAGTTATGCGTGCTTATGCGGGGGGAGTAGTACCAGGATGGGTGACCTCCTGGGAAGTCTGGTCCGAGTGAGCCAAAAGCGGACAATATTGTCTCAGGTAAGGTAAGGGGAGGCGTTTAGTATGTTGATGGGGAGAGCTGAAGAGTTATGTTTTATTAGAGGTTTCTCGGTGGGACGTAGTCCAAATATGTTGTCTATCTCTCACTTACTATATGCGGATGATGCTATCGTTTTTTTGATGTGAGGGTGGATCGGTTGAGGTTCTCGAGATGTGTTCTGGCTTGCTTCCAAGTCGTGACAAGGATGAAGATCAACACAGGAAAGGGTGAGCTGGTCCCGGTTGGGATGGTTGAGGAGATCCATGACTTAGCTGAAATTATTGGGTGTGGAGTTTGCTCGTTCCTGATCTCCTACTTAGGATTGCCTCTGGGAGCCTCGTCGAAGTGGTCGTTAGTTTGGTATCCCGTGGTGGAGCGGTTTGAGAGGAAACTTGCAGGTTGGATAAAAGCTTAAAGCAATACTTATCGAAGGGGGGAGACTCACTCTTATGAAGAGCACCCTTTCGATCTTCCAGCCTACTATATGTCTTTATTCCCAACGCCCAAGTCTGTTGTTTAGAGATTGGATGAGATTTAGAGGAATTATTTGTGGGGTGCTAGGGGTGGTGAGTTCAAAAACCATACCACTTGGTCAATTGGGATAGAATGTGCTCTCACATTCAGAAAGTGGGGTTGGGGATTCGGAGACTGGATTTGCTCAATAAGGCTCTGTTCGGCAATGGTTGTGGAGATTTGGGGGTGAGAGTCTAGATTATGGAGGAGGGTTTTTGCCTGTTTGTGCAGATTTGGAAGCTTATTTGGAAGGTTTGGGATGAGTTTTCCAAACGCATTCAGTTTAGAGTTTGGAATTGGAGGAATGTTAGAGTCTGAGAGGATTTCTGGTGTGGGACTTTACTTTGGCTCGTAGGTTTCTTCAGCTTTTCAGGATTTCCATGACCAGACGCGCTCTGGTTGTTGACTGTTATCGGCTTATTAATGGGAGGCGAACCTAGGACATGCAGTTTCGTAGAGACTTTCATGATTGGGAACTTACTGACGTTGCTGAGTTCTTGGCTTTTCTCTACAGCCAGATGGTGCAGGGTGATGGGAGGGATGAGATGGTGTGGGTGGGTACCCAAGAGGGGTTTTTGAGGTTCAGTCTTACTACCACAGCCTGATGGAGACCCGAGGCCCCATGTTCGCTTGGAAGGTGATTTGGAAGTCGAAAGCCCTCTTGAAGATGGCTTTTTTCACTTGGACAACTGCCCTCGGAAGTATTCTCACTCTTGACAATCTCAGAAGGAGATAGATTGTGGTGCATTGGTGTTGCATGTGTAAGAAGATGGACGAAACAGTGAACCATCTTCTTCTTCATTGCCTAGTGTTGAGGGATGTTTGGGCGATGTTTTTTGTTGCTTTTGGCATGTTTTGGGTTTCTCCCGTTTCCATGGTGGATATGTTAAGAGGCTAGGGGAGGGTGTATGGTGACACTTGAAGGGCCCCTCCCCTTTGTTTATGGTGGGGTCTGTGGTGTGAGAGAAATAGGAGATCCTTCGATGCTGAGGAGACTCCTATTTGGTCTCTCAAATACAATATAGTATCTACTTTATTCTTTTGGGTTTATGGCCGAAATTGTAAATCTTTGGGGCATCTTTTGGATTTTGTGGATAGCTTGAAATTATAGTGGTTGCCTTTGGCGCCTTGTGTATTATTTTGGGAGCTCTCCCCTCTTGAGCGCCTTTTATGAAATCTTATAAAAAAACAAAAAAGATTAACCACATCTATAAAAACAATAACGATGGTGGGAAGGAAAATAGAGGTGGTGGCAGTCATTGTTGTGACTGGTGGAAGCCTCGGTGATGACCTGGGAATGTGGTTGGTGGAGTGGCAATGATGATTGTGGTGGCTGTGATAGTGTAGTAGAGGGGGTGTCATTGATGAAGGCTTTAATTGTGGTGGTGGTAAAAGTGATACTGATGTGATGGAGATCTGTGGCAGTAAACCTTAAAAGTGTAAAAAAGGCATAGAAAGGAGGGTTCTAAGGCTCAAGCCTTAATTTGCATATGCTAGATGATGTGGGTTCCACTTGGAATCTTAAATAACTGGGGGGTTTTGGTCAAGTTGCACTATTTATGAGCTTGGTTGGCATTACGATTCAATTGAGCTGGTTTTGTTTGCTTTTATTTATGTTATTAAGTTACGAGTTTGAAATTTGAAGAGTTGTGAGTCTTATCAATTACCTCAATTATTCTAAAAGTCATTAGTTAAACTCCATGTAAGTGAAAGACGCATGAGTAGAAATCTGATAAAGGGATGGGTTTAATCTTGGTTGCATCAGTGAATGAATGAATAATGAAATGTCTAGTGAAATTTTCTTGTGAGTGCTTCACAAATTATGGGGGTGTGAGACCTTCTTTGGGTGCGATGCCTATGCTTATTGGTGTGACTCCAATAGGTTGCTATTTTTTCATGTCCTTTCTCCTTGCTTTAAATTCTACATCTCTACTATTAAACCTCAAACTCCAGTCCTGATTATTTGAATTTTCAGCCACTGAATTCTTTAATTTTCAACTATTTGAGGCTGCTCTAGAAATCCTACGTCATGATGTCAATGAAAACGACAATATGGTGTAAGTGGCAGTTGGTAAGTCACTTTTTCATTTTTTTGATCTTCTATAATCTGTTCTAGGAGGGTTGAGATTCCCCTCTCTCACCATATGGGGGGACACCGAGTGTTGAACAGTGGCTTTTAAAATTAGAACTGTTCCTTAGTGTCTAAGGTAGAAAGCTAAGAGCAGGTAGTCTCACTCCATTCCTTACTCTCGTTAGTCACACTTTCATCTTTCATATTTTCTATAATTTCTTCTAGTAGGGCTGGGATTCCCTTCTCTCACGATGTGAGGGGAGACCGAGCGTGGTTAACAATGGCTTCTAAAAGTAGAATTGATCCTTACTAGCTATAAGGTAGAAAGCTCGGAGCAAAAACTCTCACTGCAATCCTTACTCACATAACTCGCTCTTTCTTTTTCTTATCTTCTACTCTCTTTTCTAGAAGGTTGGAATGTTGCCAGGTAGTAGAGGTGGTGACAATGGTAGTGATTCTGGTGGATTGAGCTGTGAGTAAATAGTTTTGGTGGTGGCAGTGGTGCCTCAAGTCAGCTATTGTAGTTATGGTTGATTCTGGTGGAAGTGTGGCAACCACAACAACATGGTGGTGGTAATTTTTGTTGTAGTGTTGATATTGGTTGCTTCTGGTGGTAGCAGCAATAGGTTTGTGGTTAGTGGTTGCAAAAATGGTGATTAAGCATTCCTGAATTGCTACAAAAGGAGAAAAGAATGAGTTAGAAAAGTCATCTTCATTATTTGTCACTAATGTAATTTATACTTCTGGAGAATTATGGGAACACAAGATGTGTAGGAGAAGTAGTTTCTTGTAATGCACTCTTGGAGTAATGTATCAGACATGCCTGTCCTTTTGGGGAAGTCGTTATCAATATAAAAACAAATTATTATTTATTTTTATTAAAAACAGATACCCTTATTATCATGTGGTTGTATATCTTTTAGAGCAAAATGCTTATGCTCCGTTTGGTAGGATGGAAGAAATTTGGATGGAAGGGAGAGAAGAAGAGATAAATAAAACATCCTTAGGGAAGAGATTGTGTCCTTCACTCTTTTTGTTTGGTTGGATGGACGAGAAGAGAATATGACAATACCTTATTTTGTTTGTTACAAGAGAAGAAAAGAGAAAGTGCTAATTAAAAGGAAAGTTTTGTAATTTAAAAACATTTATAATAGCCTTGCTTTTCTTCCTTCATGTCTTCCGCCCACATTTGGAGGGATAAAAATTTGTGAAGGAGGAATGATGACTCATCCATCCTCTTTTCTCTTCTCTCCTTGCCTACTCTCTACCAAACGATGGAAATTTGTTTCTTCCTTCCCATCTTCCATCCACCCCTCTTCCTACCTTCCTACCAAGCGGAGCATTAGTTTTTCACTTAAATGTTATTAAATTTTCTGAAACAAAAGGTTCGAATCAAAGAGAGAGCCAGCCCCCCGGTAAAAGGTAAGTGCATCACAATCACAATCTGCTTCTTGAGAGATGAGAACACTCATTTTGAGAGTAGGTTTCATTTTAACTTTTATGAAGCTCGACTTCATAAGGTCATTTAAGAATGACAACCGTTTTGGCTTGGTAAATTATGGTAGTTGATTTTAACGCTTTGACTTCCCTTTTTTCCCCAAGGAACATTTTATTAACAAGCAAACAAACAGAGAAGCAGCAAAGGGACAAGGCCCCACTAGTACATTCACTTGAGTTCTGCATATTATGTTATTGCTGCGTAGGAAAAAGATTGTTTCTGTTTCCTTGCCTACACATACACACACACAATACTAAAAGGTTGTTCATAATAGTTTTTAAGGACATCTGAATTCTAAAATTTAGTTGATGAAAGCTGCACGTATTAATACAACCTGGGACCTTATATATATATATACACACACACACACAATATATATATATTGTGAATGAAGCTTGCGCATCTTTGTAGTGCATATACATAGAGTTTTAATCAGCAGCAATAATAAGTCTGGCTTTCTCTTTTTGAAGGCACCACTTCCTGGTTGCAAGGGAATTTGGACTGTTTACCACAAGAGCACGCGTGGTCACAATGTCGATTCTTCGAAGATGGCTGAAGAGGATGATGAATATCATGCATATTTGATTATTAGTTTGGAGAGTCGTACAATGGTAATCTCACTTGTCATTTTCATTATAAAAGTTGAAGATGTCTGCAAAATATGTCCATTCTGTTCTTGGTAGTACGCCTTGCTCACACTGATTATTTTGATTTTTATGTTTATGTAATTGTTTTGGCAAAAACACTGTTGAACTACTTTTGTTGATGTATTTAATTGGGATCAGTTGCTGCATTATAATTATATTCTATTGGTGTGGCTTGAAATCTATTGTTTTTCTATTTGTTCTTTTACTTAACAGAAATCACTATTTTTGTTGGAAATTAATCTTTTTTCCTTCTGTTCTCATGTGGTAATTTGGATATGAATATATTTAATACTTGAGTCCTACTTAGATACTTGATGAAACTACGACTCATCCGGCTGCTGGTTCAGAATATTTTTCATAGAAGATATCTATATGAAATCCTGAATTGCAAGTTAACCTCATTACGAGGAATAAGTATATTTTGATCTTTATGAAACCAGGTCAACTTTAATTGTGTTGATGATTGGTGTTGACCCGTTGTGATGGTGCTACGTTAGATGTGCCACATTATAAGTATATCACACCGAGTCCAATAAGGTTTGGCTATGCTGCAGAATACACACACACCATTGAGAGAAGGCTTTACTGCATATTATGCGACACATTTGGTATTACTATCACTGCCATCTTTTGGTTCAAAATCCTAGCTAGGCCGATCCAAGCCTGCTGTTTTGTAGGTGAGGTTAAACAAGAGAATAAGTGTATTATCATGTGTGAATCGGGCGGGACCATAGAAACATGTACAACATTTGTAGGTAGCTAATGCCAGAAATCAGCATGTTTAGCTGATATTTGAAAACCCGATTCAAAATTTTATTTTATAATTGCTTGTATGCATGTTTACCAGAGGGTGGGCCTTGGAAGAATGGTAATGTAAGTGCGTTTTATCAATTAACTCGGAGAGTGATATTAATTGAAGAGGACTTGCGCAGCAAGACTAACCGATCTAGAGGTGTTTGGGGGGGGGGGGGGGGGGGGAGGGTGGGAGGGGGAAGGGGATTCAATAGGTCTTCTGAATATCTATGGACAATTTTAAAATAAATTAAACAAATTATGATTTGCTTTTAAACTCCTCTTTTTAAAAGCACTCATATATTATCTCAATTTACTTCCCAATTTGCTTCTTTAGTATATATTTGAAATTAATGATTAAGCATGCATACCCAATTCACAAATATAATAGATGCAAATAAAAACAGAAATAAAGTAAAGTAAATAGAGAATAAGAGACGAACGGTATACGAGGTAAAACCCTTGAACTCGGGATAAAAAAACTTCGGGAGCTTTTCGCAAGGCCAAGAAGATTCCACTATAAAGAAAGAAATTACAACCTGCCCAGTTCAACACGATTAACACCAGCTAACCTCCAAACTCAACAAGATACCAAACCTTCATGCTGGTTCACATACAATTGGTTTATTCCACGGTCAGTTTCAATCCAATTGCCCTATTGCAGCACTCCCGGCATCCTCCAGTGATTGAATATGTTGATTTCATCTTTTTGCTCATTGTGTCTTATTTGTCTCTATAGAACATCTCTGTCTTGTCATAGCTACAATCTCTGACTTAACTTGTGATGCTTTTGAAACATTTCTCAATACTCTCCTTGTCTTTGTTGAAGTCTCTGTCTTGATTCAACAATACTCGGATATACTTGACATGTCATGTTTGCCTTGTCTTTGATGAAGTACTCGGTCTAACTCAAACAATACAATGACAAACTTGACAATAGTTTTGATGAGGAATATGCCAATACATGAAATATTTTCCTAACAGGTAAGGTTGCTCCATTGTGACCTGGAGGTCACAGGTTCGAATCAGGAAATAGCATCTTCGCATATGGAGGTAAGGCTGCGTACATCAGACCCTCCCCAGACCCTGTAGTGGTGGGAGCCTTGTGCACTGGGCTAGCCCTCTTTTGCATGTTTAGCACAAATCTCATTGTGCATCTATCTCTCGCTTTTTGTTTTTCCTTGATATTGATTTGCAGTAATACCTTTTTTGTAACAACTTTTCTAGGTATCCTTGATAACTTCAGTGTTTCTCCATTTTATTATTATTATTATTATTTTTAATATAGTGATTTTTCACATTAAGTCTGCATTGACATAATTGTCAGTATACACATATTCTTCAATGAAAACCACTTGAAAAGTTAATGTCACGAGTAAATCCAATATGGATTTTTTGGCTTAATAATATTGCAACAAACTCTTCCTGAAATTCTGCCTCTTGGAAGCCTTTGGTTTAAGAATTGGATTACACTTCAAACATAATGTGCTTAAGTGAAACTTTTATCAATATTATTAGATTCATGCCAATGATTTTCATGTAAGATTGACAGTCAATTGTAGTAATCAGCTGATGATTTGCATGTAAATAATATATGAGTGGCTAGTAGCTGGTGCTTAAGGATGTTGGTGGTTTTAGGATTCATGTGTGCTATGTTAGTTATGCAGGTGGAAGATTGTTTTGTGTAATACTTCTTGCTGTTTTTAAAATGGTGATCATCCTTTGTTGGCATGTTACATGGCTGCTTTTCTTTTGAAATGGTTAGGTACTAGAGACAGCTAATAATCTGGAAGAGGTTACTGAAGCTGTTGATTATTATGTGCAAGGAAGTACAATTGCTGCTGGGAATCTGTTTGGAAGGTGATTCTACATCTAAATTTAGTAATGAGATATTGTTCTAAATGAAATTTCTTACCATTTCTTTTCCGTCATTAAGCTTATTATATAGTTCTTGGGAATTATTAATTTCATATCCAAAATGTGTAGAGTCATAACCTCTCTTGATTGCTTTAAGCACTGTTGTTTAGACTGCCATTCCTTCACGCCATGTTTTCTGCCCCTATACTCAACCTTTAGGTTAGCATGTCTGTTAGTTGTCAGCTTTGTTATGTTCATATTTTATATTTCTATTGGTGTATATGCTTGCTTTCAGTTGAAATTATATTGTAGGGTTTTGGATGATTAGGGTTTGGAGAAAAAAGATAAAAGAAAGAGAGAAGAAGACAGAGAATATAAGAATGGGTTGTAGAGTAGTATCTGACATCTCTACACCCGTGTATTTATATTAGTAAGAAATATAATTACAATAATTGTGGTCAAATCCCATAGATTAACGCCCACTAATTATGCTGGTGAAATCCCACTGATTACGCCCACTAATTATGCATAATATAGGAATACTGGGTTGTATGTACAAACTCCTGGCTAAGGTTCTTGCCCTTAGGATGAGGAAAGTAATGGATGGGATTATTTCGGATTCTTAGAACGCTTTTGTTGGAGGAAGGCAAATTCTAGATTCAGTTCTTATTGCAGGCGAATGTGTGGATTCCAAATTGCGAAGTGGGGTTCTCGGAGTCCTATGCAAACTTGACATTGAGAAAGCATATGATCATGTGAATTGGAATTTCCTTTTTTACTTGCTACATAGAATGGGGTTTGGAAGTCGTTGGAGGAATTGGATTGAGACTTGTTTTTCGTCTGTTAAGTTCTCTGTTCTTGTGAACGGATCTCTTGCTGGTTTCTTTTGGTGCACCTGGGGTTTAAGACAAGGAGATCCTCTGTCGTCTTTCCTTTTTCTAATTGTTATGGAGGGCTTGAGCAGACTTATGTGAAGGGCAGAGTATCTTGGTCTTATTAAGGGCTTTAGAGTGGGAAGAGATCTAGTCCATCAGGTGGAGATCTCTCATCTACTTTTCGTGGACAACACCCTGGTTTTCTGTGATGTTGATGTGTCGCAACTTAGATTTTTGAGATGTATCCTGGCATGTTTCCAGGCGGTTTCTATGTTGAAGGTCAACGTGGCTAAGAGTGTGCTTGTTCCGGTAGGGGATGTTCAGGATATTTCCTCTTTAGCTGCAGTCCTCGGGTGTAGGGTTAGTTCTTTCCCCATTCCTTATTTGGATTTGCCCCTAGGGGTTTCTTCCAGGAGAGTGGGGAGTTGGGACCCTGTGATTGATAGGTATGCGAATAGATTAGCAGGAAGCAATACTTGTCTAAGGGGGGTAAAATTACTCTTATTAAGAGCACTTTATTGAGCCTTTCCACATATTTTTTTATCTATGCTCCATATTCCATGCTCTGTTGCTGATAGGATCGAAAAAATTCAAAGGGATTTCCTTTGGGGCGGAAGGGGTGTGGAGTTTAAGTATCACCTTGTTAGATGGGAGCAAGTTTGCAAGTCCATGAGGTTGGGTGGTCTTGGTATTAGAAGGTTGGTTCCTTTTAATCAAGCTCTTTTGGGTAAATGGTTGTGGAGATAAGGGAGAGAAAGACATCGCCCTTGGCGAAGGTTAGTTTCATGTCAGTATGGAGAAGAGAGTGGTGGCTGGTCTACCGGTCCGGTTCATCTTGCGGGAGGAGTTGGGGTGTGGAAATCCATCCAGAAGGGATGTGATGTTTTCTCTTCTCAACCAAAGGCCCAATTGGCCCAACAGTATCACTCCTTCCTTTCCAAATGGGAAGTCGGGGGTTCGAACCTCAGTGGAGGTAGGGTGTGTGCACAATTGCTTTAGCTTTCAAAAAAAAAAAAAAAAAGTTTTCTCTTCTCATATCAGATTCAAAGTTCTTGATGGCAGATGCGTTCGTTTTTGGGAGGATCTTTGGTGTGGTGACCAGCCATTATCTCGTACTTTTTCCAGATTATACAGTATTGCAGTTGATAGACACGCATACGTAGCTGACTATTATCGGCTTGATAGTAGTGGGATTACGTGGGATGTGCACTTTAGGTGTTTCTTTCAGGATTGGGAGCTGGACGAGGTGTGTGTTTTTTTGGATTTGTTGTATTGGCAGGAGGCAGTTGGCAGAGGTAGTGATAATCTAATATGGATTCCCTCTTCCCACGGTCGTTTCGAAGTGTGATCTTTTTTTTTATATCTGTCTAATTTTGGTAGCCTTGACTTTCCGTGGAAGACCATTTGGCGTTCTATCGCTCCAACTAGGGTGGCATTCTTTGTTTGGACTGCTGTATGGGGTAAGATTCTGGCGATTGATAATTTGAGGAAGCGGGGTAATTGTTTTGTTAATTGGTGTTGTCTATGCAAGCGAGATGGTGAGTCAGTTGATCATATCCTCATGCACTGTCCTGTGGCGTACGATTGTTGGAATCTTATTCTTGGGTTGTTTGGTATGCGTTGGGTAATGCCACGTTCTTCTAAGGATTTGATTCAAGCTTGGAGAGGATGTTGTATGAGTAGAGATGTACACGATTACTGGAGAATTGTCCCACATTGCGTTTGGTGGTGCATTTGGAAGGAGAGGAATAGTAGAATGTTCGAAGGAAAGGAGACGTCTATGGCGACGCTAAAACTCCATATTATTCGTTCTTTTCAGTTACGTGAAGAGGAGCTTTTGTTCTCTTCTGATGATTTAATTATTTTTTTGGATTCTTTGGGGCCTTAGTCCCCGGTTCCACTTCTGTATAAGGGATGCGTTCCCCTTTTGAACGCCTTTTTATTTCATTATTACTTATCAAAAAAAATATAGGAATAGTCTCACGTATTCCATCACCAACTAATGCAATCAGCTCTGAAAGAAAAGAAATAAATCTGAAGAAGGGAAAACAGAGAGCAAGATCAAGCTAACGAATAGCTTAAACACCCACAACTTAATCCCAAAGAAAGGGAGAGATAGAAAGCTGCTACAGCAGACTAGATATATTGATAATACGTAAAAGGCTGCTCATTACAACTTGGAACAACCCTTTTATAAGCCACAAGGGATGCCCTAACAAAGATATAATCATAGCCCTTCAAATAAATGTAATCTAAAGGCTAGTATTCTCTCCAGCAGTATAACGAGCTAAAAATTACAAAAGACCGTAAACAGTCACATGACTCACTTAAAAGGCACACGACTTATAGAATAAAACCAAATGACAATAATATCCTAAGCATGAAATAAAACAGATTAAAGACTTATAAATGACTCAAGACTAAAAACAATCACATAATCGGACTCATTATTAGCTGCCCTATTTATGGAAACTCGGCCACGTCTTCTTAGAGTGCTCAAATATTTCTGCACCCCCTCCCCCCTTTTTTAAGATGGTGCATATAGATATCTCATGCCTAACTTGCCTACAATAGAATGAAAGGAATTACCAACTCAAACTTTTAGTGAATACATCATCTAGTCATTCTTCTGACTTCACGAAGGTCATACAAATCACTCCATCGTTCAATTTCTCCTTGATGAAATGCCCGTCAATCTCAATGTGCTCTATTCTATCATGTTGAACCGGGTTATGTCATATGTGCAATGCTAATGGCTGCTTTATTGTCACAATAAAGTCTCATAGGACTACCATCCTTGATACTCGAATCACTCATCAAGTTCTGAATCCACGTGAGTTCACGTACCCCACAAGCCATGCTTATTCTGCTGCTGCATTGGATCTAGCCACTACAAATTATTTCTTGGTCCTCCGAGTAACCAAATTTCCACCAAAAAAGGTGCAATAACATCTGGTGGGCCGTATATAATCAATTGAGCCTGCCCAATCTGCATATGTGAAAGCTTCCAATTAAAAATGTCCATGACTAGAGAATAAGATCCCTTTTCAGGCGCAGACTTCAAATATCTCAGAATGTGATACACAGTCTCTAAATGAGCGGGGAGAGGGTCATGCATAAATTGGCTAGTAACACCCACTTCATATGCTATGTCTGGACGAGTGTGAGATAAATATACAAGTTTCCCAACCAATCTCTGATATCTTATCTTGTCCACTTGTTTGCCCTCACCATTTTGAAGATGACGATTCATCTTAATAGGAGGGGCTGGCAGTTTGCAACCTAACATGCTCCTCTTCTAAAAGATAAAGAATATATTTCCTTTGAGATATAAAGATGCCTTTGTCTGATGTTGCTACCTCTATCCTAAGGAATTATTGTAAATTCCCCAAATCTTTTATCTCAAAATTTTGGGCTAAGTGAGCTTTTAACCTAGACACCTCCTCAAGATCATCTCCTGTTAGCACAACGTCATACACATACAATAAAACTAGTGATCTTGCCCTTGGCATGCTTAATGAACATAGTATGATCAACATTACTTTGTTAATACCCAAACTTGATCATAGCCCTAAAAAATCGATCAAACCAGGCTCTCAGGGATTGCTTCAAGCCATGAAGTGCCTTTACATACCTTCTCTTCAGTACTTGTAGAAGATAATCCTGTTGGAACCTCCATGTAGTCTTCCTCCTCAAGATATCCATGAAGGAATGCATTTTCCACATCTAATTGCTGAAGACTCCACCCTAAATTGGCTGCACATGACAAAAGGGCTCGAATGGAGTTCATCTTAGTCACTGGTGCAAATGTCTCATGATAATCGATGCTATATGTTTGTGTTAAACCCTTGGCAACAAGACGCGCCTTGTATTCTCTCTAGTTCCATCTGCTTTCTGCTTGACACTAAAAACCCACTTGCGTCCCACGTTTTTTTGTCATTCGGAACTGGAACGAGTTCCCATGTCCCATTCTTCCCTAAAGATCTCATCTCTTCTACCATTGCTTCTTTCCACTTGGGATCTGCAACAACTTAACTCTGAGGAATAGTTATAGAAGACAAAGAGGAAATAAATGCACAAAGGGAAGAAGATAAAAAATCATAGGGAACAAACTTAGAAATAAGATGCCGAGTACAACTCCTGGTTCCCTTTCGAGCAACAATTGAAAGATAACCTGATGATAGAGGAGGTACATTGGGTTCTGAGATTGGAGTTGGAGATTGCTGCTGGTGTGGTGGAGGCACATGAGTGGAAATCTGCTCCATCTGACATCTAGGCCAATGAGAATACCTCTGAAAAGTTCTTTTTTTAGAATGAGGATGATAGCACTTGTACCCTTTTGTTACCAAGTATCCAATAAACATATATCTTACCGCCTTGTGATCAAGTTTCCCTCTAGATTGTTGGTGTTCATGAACAAAACACACTCATCCAAAACCTTGTGGGGAGGAATGGAATGAATGATTCCACAACCATGAAGTAACTCAATAGGAACCTTAGTGTCGAGTTCTTAGAGGCATTCTATTAATGAGGTGTGCAGCGGTGAGAACAACACCACCTCAGAAAGTCTTAGGAAGATCCATACTCTGTCCCATTGTCAGTTCTAACAATGTTGATTTTAGCATCAAACTGAGTGCATTCCATCTTCTGAAAACATGTGAATACATCACTTTTGTGATGTAATAAGTATACCTAGGTAACTTGAGAAAAACAATCAATAAAAATAACAAACCATCGATATCCAGAAAGTGAAACAACCCTGGAAGGTCCCCAAATATCAGAATGAACAATCATAAAACGAGCAGTGCTTCTACCATTAGTAATAGGATAAGAATTCCTTTGATGTTTTGCAAACTCACAAGCATCACCAATAAAACTCTCTTTATTACACTGCTTAACCAAAACAGGAAAAAGTTTCTCTAATGCTCTAATAGAAGGATGACTAAGACACCTATGCCACTGATGTATCTGCTGAAGTGTATGAGAATTATCAGCATGAAGAGCCAAACAAGAAGAAGAGTTATCACTAGAAAAGGGCTCAGATATAGACCACTATGTGCCTTACCACTGTCAATCATTCTCCCTGTCCCCAATTCACACACAATGGGTCGGAAAAAAAAATCACAGAACAATTTAGAGACTCGGTGATTCGGCTCACAGAAAGCAAATTGGTTGAAAATTTTGGGACATTTAATACGGAAGAAAGTGACATGGACGGGGAACATTGGACAAGCCCCTTTCCGAAATAGATGACAGTGGCATTTGCAACTCTAACCTTATCCCTATCAGAACAAATTGAGTAAGAGGAGAAAAGATTAGAACCTGTCATGTGATTAGAGGCTCCAGAATCAACGACCCATGGCTGAGAGGGTGGAAAGACACTAAAAGCACTTGCAGATATACCTCTGTGAGCAAAGTTAGAAGAACATGAGACTGTAGTAGAAGTTGAGGCAGATGGAGTACTGAAGCGAGCCATCAATCTCGAAGTGTTTGCTATTCATCTACAGTGAGAGTGGCAGAGTCTACACTCCTTGGCTTAGACGTTGTCTCTGGAACCTCCGATATATGAGCATATCACCTTGCTGAGCCAAACCATCCTCCACCTCGACCTCTAGTGGGATGTCGATGAAGTCTCCAACAATGGTCCATAGTGTGCCTTGTCTTCCCACAGAAGTCACACTTCAGTAAGTCCTCAGAACTCCACTCTTGCCATCAACACCAGGCTGCCGTGACCACTGGTCTCTATGTCTATGAGAAATACAAGCAAAAGCAGGGCAATCTTGAGTCATAGTGTGAATCGTGGCACTCCTACGACTCTCCTCCTACTGGACATATGCATAAGCTTGCCTCAAATATGGGAAGGGATCCCTACCAAGCACTTGAATACGAATCTGATCATACTCCACGATAAGCCTGGATAAAAGGTCATGCTGATGCTCCTTATATAGAAGTTTTTGAAATTTGGCACTATCACTAGCACATTTTGCTTGATAGTCCCAACAATAATCCAACTCTTGCCACTGACTATTACGATCCGCATAGTACTTTGCAATAGACATATGTCACTGTTTGTTCATGGACCTTTTCCATAATTTCTAAACTTGTGCATCATTCCCGAACTGAAATTAAGTCTGAGATATAGCAGTCCAAATGTCATGGGCTAAATCAAGAAGAAGGTATCCACGACTGATATGTGGTTACATGGATTGTAGCAACCAAGACATCACCAGTGAATTGTCTGAGACCCATCAATCTTAAGAGGGATTGGATGATTCTGGCTTCTTGCGCTCTCCAGTCAAATAACCACACAAGCTACATGCCTGAACTGACTAAAGGCATGACCGAGTCCATGCTAAGTAATTGCTCCCGGCCAATTTCACAGGACTAATTTGAAGAGATGGGTTGTCAACAATGGCTGAAACGTGGCCTAATCCACCTTTCTCAGTACTTGTAGAGCTGCCACTGACTTCCAACACCTTATCTCAAGAATAGATACAATAGCCAAAGAACAAACAAGGAATCTAGAGGATGAACTCAACGAGAAATCAGCAGGACAATCATATAATTACCAGACTTGATTTCAATGCTTCAAATCATGCAACCAAACTTCACACAATTATCTACACTACCTAGTCACACTCCTCTCTGATGGATAGAACTAAAAAAATCCAACAGAAAAGAATCCGTCAACCAGATTGCAGCAAAGAGCCCCTCTTAAATAAAATAAAAATAAAAAATAAAAAAAGTTTCGAAAATTGAAAAACCCTAGAAAATGGCTTCAAAAAAATCAGGAAAAAAATACTGTCCAAGGTGAGGAATTTTGAGCCTTAACATGCTGACGCTAGCATGATGCGCACTGACCTTGACATCAGCACACTTATAGGCCTCCTTCAACTCTTTTGAGTACTATGGATTCCTGATGTTGGAACTTGGCTTTGATACCAAGTTGAAATTATGTTGTAGGGTTTTTGATGATTACGGTTTGGAGAGAAAAGATAAAAGAAAGGGAGAAGAAGACAGGGTAGGAAGAGAATGTAAGAAAGGGTTGTAGAGTAGTATCTGACATCTCTATACCTGTGTATTTATATTAGTCAGAAATATAATTACAATAATTGTGGTCAATTCCCACAGATTATGCCCACTAATTATGCTGGTCAAAGATTACGCCCACTAATTATGTATATTATAGGAATATTCCCACATATTCCAACACTTCCCTTTTTAAATAGCTCATACTGTATGTTCGTTTGGTCTTCCTGTATGTGAGGCATTGTGGTTCCAAGTACAATCAGAAACCTTCCTTGATTGCTCTAAGAGCTGTTGTTTAGGCAGCTGTGGCTTAATGCAATGTTCATCTAGCCCTATATCCAACCTTTGGGGGTTACTAGTTGTCAGTTGTATAGCCTCATTATTGTTCGTATGTATGTTTCTGTTGTTGTATATGCTTGCTTTCCTTTTTAAATAGTTTATCCGTTTAGCCTGTCTTGTATGTGAAACATTATAGTTGCCCATTCTACCCATATAATTGGGAACTTTAGGTGTTTACCTCAAAATTTTGAGAACTCTTGCTGTATTGGTGCCAATATTTGGCTCATGCATAGCCTCATTTCCTCCTTCTGCTTGCTATATGTAAGAGATTGTTTCTTTCTACTTCAGTAAGGTTCACATCTTTTTATGTTTTCGCGATAACGGTGTAGTTAAATTTTGTATTGTATCTTTTCTCGTTTTGACTATTATCCCTTGCCTAGTGAACATCTTTTGTATTTTGTTGTGTACATGCTAAATTCCTTTGCTAGTTTCCTTAATATATTATGATGCTTTCATGATTTATATTTTCCTTTCATTTATTTATTGCTAATGGTTAAAAGATTAATTTCAGCTGTCGATCTAGTGATGTTTTGCTAATGGTTAAAAGTTGATGAAGTTGTTTCTCTCTTAACCTCCACATTTTACAGGCGTCGAGTTATTCAGGTCTTTGCTCGTGGTGCTCGAATTCTTGATGGCACTTTTATGACTCAAGATATAAGCTTTAAAGCTCCGAACTCTGAATCTGGATCAGGTTCTGAAAGTTCAACAGTGTCATCTGTTTCTATAGCTGATCCATACGTGTTACTAAGAATGACTGATGGGAGTATTCAGCTTCTTGTTGGAGGTACATCTGGCCAGCTTATTCCTGTACTCCTTTATTTATAGTTATAAAGGACACTGCTATCATGATTTTTTGGTAGTAGATACGGTTTGTTCATAAAGGCATAGTAATCAATCCTTTTCTCAACTGTTAAAAACAACAACAACAACAACAACAACAATAATAACAAGAATAACAATGACAATAACAATAACAATTACAATAACAATAATAATAAGAATAAGAATAAGAATACTTATAAAAAAAAAAGAAAAAGAATAAGAATAAGAATAACATTAATACTAACAACAATAATAATAATAACAACAACAATAACAATAACAACAATAATAATAACAACATTAACAAGAACAACAATAATAACAACAACGACAACGACAACGACCACAATAATAATAATAGTAATAACAATAACAACAATAACAATAATAATAATAACAGCAACAACAACAATAATAATAATGACAACAACAACAACAATAATAATAATGACAACAACAACAACAACAGGTACCAGTTAGTTCTATGAAATTTATTATAATAATAAAACGCCTATAAAATGCCAAACTGTAACAAGAGTTAAACTCCTATAAAACACCGAACTGTAACAAGAGTTAAACTCCTATAAAAATAATTGTTCCTTTACTATCTAAGGAAATGGCGGTAAAATCATGCATTACCACTTCCCTTCCTCCAATCTTTACAGTTCAACCAAACAAAATGAGAAAAAAGTTCCTTCTTATTCCCCATAGAAATTGCTTCTGTTCTCCAATATTCCCTCCATTTTTATCCATCGTACCGAACAGACCACAAAAAAGTGAATAAGAAGATGGAACCTGAAGAATCGGACATGACACTTTTTCCTAAATGAACCCTTTCCTTCCTTCTCAACTCCCACTTTTGGGAGGAAAATGTTAGCTTCTGGAGGAGATCCTCCTCTTTCCTTTTCCCTTCTTCTTTCCCTCCTACCAAACCATGGCTTCCTCTTTTTCTTTCCTCCACACTTATTTCTATCAAATGGACCATTAATTAATGCATTTATTCAAAAAAAAGAAAAAGAAAAGACTCATTCCTTACCGAAAATAGAAGAAAAGAAACATTTCTCTCTCTCTCTCTCTCTCTCTCTCTTTCTCAAGTCATCTCTCTCTTTTCATACTCAAGTTGTTTTTCCATGATTGATTCCTTCCTTAACCTCTTGTTCCAAGCTTTGTCGTATGGGGGTCTACAAGTGTAATAGTAGAGTATGGACACTTTTAAACTGAGATTAGGTTTTTGGTTGTGGTCTATAAGTGAACCAACAAAAGAATGAAGTCTATAAATTTGGTCATAACCCTGGCAATCCCAACACTAAAAAAATCCATCTTAGATGTTTATAAATATAATAAAGAAAAATAATGAGTTGATGGTTTAAACCTGAATTAGGGCTCTGCTTGTTTCTACGGGGAAAAAAAAAAAAAAAATGTCATGAGAAAAAGTTTTCATCTGAAACATTTTTACATAACATAAATTCTTGCTCTTAGTTTTCAGTGTTTGGCTAATTATAAAGCCATTTGAGTGATATCAGAATCTTCGCCGTGCAAACATTTTCTTAAGAAGCAGTGTCGTCCTAATAGGTTTGCCCCAAATAACATATGCCATCACAACAAGATTGAACTCTGGAAACTCTGTCCTCGATGTATCTTTACATGTAATCTACAAAAACCTAATACAATCCAGCTTATTTTAAAGTTGTTTTTAGGCTCAAAAGCTTATGCAAGCTGTTTCACTAAATGATATGTAAACAAGTTAACTGTACAATCCATACTTGGCAACATGATTTTGGAGAATCTCCATTCTCCCCTATTCACTTGTCAGTTCCAATTTACGATGCCCTTTCTGGCAATGTCAAGCGTATCAGAATGATATTTTCAGTGTCAGGTTCAATCTATAGAATTGCCTTGGAGGCTTGGACTCTTGGTTGGTTTTATGCCTGATTTTCAGAGAATGGTGTCATGAACTCGTTGGCTGGTGAGAAAGTGTTGATGGGGTGCTTCGGTACAACTGTGTTGTCTTTCTGGATTTTCTTGTCTTTTGAACCTTTTCATGTCATGATCCTTTTATTTGAGGATAAAACCACTGGCATTTCATGCCATGATCCTTTTATTTGAGGATAAAAACCACTGGCGCTGCAGCAGTGCTAAATGATGATGGTTGAGACAAGAAGCCTTCTGTTCATATGGAGAGACGAGTGTGCAACAAAACCGCAAGTTGTACGTATGTCGAGATAATTAGAAGTGAGACTTCCTAAAATGACTTACCTTTTGGATTAGCAGGTCATTTTTGTAAGAAATATGTTACATATTGTAGTTGCCATATAAACTACTCCACGCGGCACCTTTGATCCTAAAACCCTCGCATCATGTTAGGTCATCCAACGTTGAGAGGGCAACCCTCGATTCATAAGCAAAACCCTAGCATCATTCCAAGTCAGCAAACCTTGAGTCACAAGCAAAACCCTGGTATCACGCCAGGTCATCAAACCTCAAGAGGGCAACCTTCGAGTCACAATCAAAACCATAGCATCGCGTCACACCATCAAACCTCGAGAGGGCAACCCTTGAGTCACAAGTAAAACCCTGGCATCACGCCAGGTCATCGAACCTTGAGAGGGCAACTCTTGAGTCACAAGTAAAACCTTGGCATCATGCCGCGTCGTCAAACCTCGAGTGATAAGCAAAGCCCTGGCACCGTCCTAGGTCACCCAATCTCGAGCTTGTCAAGAGCTCGAGTCAGGATTACTAAATGAAAAGTGAGATGCAGGTAGAGTCTTCTCGCGCATTTACGTCTAATCCTTGGACACTTTGGAGGATCTTGGATTGGTGGATAAAACACCAGAAGATGCCCAGCCCAAACAATTGGCCCAACTGGTGAGATGGTGGATGTGTATTGTGTCTGGGAGCCTTACCATAACCATTAATGCTCTGACGGAGTCATTAGTGGCTCAGCTACCGCCGTTCTCACAAAGACAAATGCATTTAATGCTCAGGATAGAAAGAGCTGGCACATTGCACCACATAAGGAGAGGGCTTGATGGGAGGACTGACCTCTTAGGTGCCTAAGAGCATCATGTCTATATGCCTAGGTACAAGGCATGAACCGTTGGGTAATACCCAAAGGGTGCCAAGGGCTATAAATACCATCCTTGGAAGAGGCATTAAAGGAAGAGAACAAAAGGCATTAAGATACCGTTACCCAGAATCTGTCACGAATACTGACCAACATTCTGATTGTTTGGTCTGCTTTTCCTCCTTCATCCAGATCTTATCTTTGGGTCCCTTATATTATGTTCTTGATATCACCTTATTTATTCATATTTTATTGCGTAACTAAAAAGAACCCCCACAAATGTCTTACATGTAAAATGTTTTCCCCAATTTTATGCTGAACCAAACACAGGTTCTAAACATATTTTCCAAAACAAGTGGAGTTTAATATTGAGAGAAATAGACAGGTTTGTTCATATATAATTTGATAAAGAAATGAGATATTTGATCATTCTGCACAGCATAACTCACTGTCCTTGCCTTGTGGTATATACAGATATAAAAATGATTCAAACAAGTACTCTTAACACTTCTAGAGTTTAGTAAGTTTTACTTTGGTGGTTTCCTATTCAAATAGCTTTGATCATTCTGCACAGCATAACTCACTGTCCTTGCCTTGTGGTGTATACAGATATATAAATGATTCAAACAAGTACTCTGTAACACTTCTAGTGTTTCATAAGTTTTACTTTGGTGGTTTCCTATTCAAATAGCTTTTACTAAATTCAGAAATAAACACTTGCGTTGTCTGTGCATTGTGAATTTGGTTTTGCTTCTTTTCTCCTTTTGAACCTTAATATCAGGAAAGATAGGAATCATGCTCATATAGTATTCCCACTTATTTGCTGGCATCGTTTCCGTAGGAGTCAAAATTTGTATTGGAGATGTTTACTTCCTAATCTATTTGCACCAGCAATAAGGGCAATAGCTTATTAGTAATGACTTCAGTTATTTTATATATATATATATATATATTTTCCCAATCTTGAAATATATATATATATATATATATATATATATATATATTTCATTAGTTTTGTTGTACTAAATTCTTATAGATTTTTTGCATGGGGACATTTGAAGTATACTTGGTTAAATTTTTTACTTGCAGATCCTTCTACATGCACTGTGTCTATCAACATTCCTGCTATACTTGAAAGCTCAAGGAAATCAATATCTGCATGTACACTGTATCATGATAAAGGACCAGAGCCATGGCTCCGGAAGACAAGTACTGATGCATGGCTTTCTACTGGCATTGGGGAAGCAATTGATGGGGCTGATGGCACACTTCATGATCAAGGCGACATTTACTGTGTTGTTTGTTATGAAAGTGGTACTCTTGAGATATTCGATGTCCCTAATTTCAATTGTGTTTTCTCTGTGGATAAATTTGTGTCTGGGAATAGCTACCTTGTAGATACATGTATGCCAGAACCATCCAATGATCCTCAAAAGAATACAAATAAAACTTCTGAAGAATCGACTGGCCAAGGCAGGAATGAAAATTCCCAGTCCATGAAGGTTGTTGAGTTGGCCATGCAAAGGTGGTCGGGAGAGCATAGCCGCCCTTTTCTTTTTGGAATATTGAATGATGGAACAATACTTTGTTACCATGCTTATCTTTTTGAAGGTTCAGAAAATGCTTTGAAAAATGAGGAAGCTGTTTCTGTACAAAATTCTAGTAGCCTTAGCAATATAAGTGCTTCTAGGCTTAGAAATTTGAGGTTTCTGCGTGTTCCCTTGGACACATATACAAGGGAGGAGAATTCTTCCACAACCCCATGCCAACGGATTACAATATTCAAGAATGTTGGTGGTTACCAAGGATTATTTCTTTCTGGACAGAGGCCAGTTTGGTTCATGATGTTTAGGGAACGTCTTCGACTTCATCCACAGGTCAGTTTCTACTCAGTCTAATGATGTTTAAATTTGATTTTCCTGTAACTGTTCTTTTCCATTATTGAATTAGATGAAAGAGTGATTTGAAAGGGAAATTCATAAGAACTGACAAAGGCATGTTACTTTGATTCCAAACTGATGTAAGACTGCACTATTTTTAAAGAGTGCACTGTGTCTATTTTCAATCTTTTGGTGGGCTAAGGCTATGAATGACAGATTTTGAAGTTTAAAAAGATTGAATAAAAGTTGTAACTTTGTAGAAAGAATAGTTATAATAGGCTTGAAGTTGAGGGTGCTTAATTACTAGAATATTGGAATATGTTGTTGGAATTTCCATCCTACTACTTATATAATGTTTTATATGTTATAATGAAGACTTATAAAGGGACAGTACCAAGTTTCGGTCTGTTTCAGCAAGTTTCTGGGGAGGGAGGACTTGAGACAGACCTAACCTTGGGTATAATAACGAAGTGGCTGCTCTGAGCCTCGAACTGGCACCAATGGCACTAATGTTCAAGCATTAAACCATTGAATTTTAAAATAAAGACTTATATGGTAGAGAATTGTTTAGGCTTTGTTTGGGTGAGAGATTAGGGAAGCAACTTGAGACCAAAAGACAATTCTCAATTCTAGATTTCATTGAATAATAAAATAAGAGAATTGTGAAATTATTCTTTAAAAATTCAAGAGATTAGGACCTTAAGTAGATAATGTTTTGCCAAGACAAGAATCCTTAAATGATAATATTGTTAGGCTGTTAAGCACTCCAGGTTTGATGGAAGCACCAATTTCTCTCTCTCTCTCTCTCTCTCTCTCTCTCTCTCTCTATATATATATATATATATACACACACATTTCATTTTCTTTGCTTTGTTATGATATAATTAAAAAGCATAACCATGTGGATGGGTTTTGTATGATTTTGGAGCATTAGCCTTTAATTAATTAAATGTTTTTGATTTAATATCATGACTAGGTTTAAAAATGGACAACTGAAAAAAGTTGGATTATTTTTTGCTTAGAACTTGGATAAGAAGTACCTAGATTCAAACATTTTTTTAACCAATCGATTCTTCAAATTCTAAAGTTGTGGATCTTGAATATTTTCATTTTAGATACATCATCATCATCCTTGCTTTTTTTCCAAATGAATGGGTTGACCACTTGAATTATCTTTTTCCAATCTATTCTATTATACACCAAATCTCTTCTAATATTTAATTTTTTGAAGTTTGTTTTAATAATCTCATTCCATGTTAGTTTTGGTCGGACTTGTTGTCTCTTACCTTCTATGCAAACTAATCTTCCCTTTCTCAGTTACACATCAATTGGTCTACATTCATACTCAGACTTTGGTTAGTACACCTATTTTTTCTAGTCTCTCCTATCACTCACCCCAACATCCTCCTTTTTGTTACATAAATGCATTATTCTTGTTTCTTTTTTAATGCCCAACACTCTACCCCGTATAAGATACTTGGTCTAATAACCGTCTTATAAAATTTCCCTTTTAACTTGTTTGGTATTTTTCCATCACATAGTATGCCACTAGCCTATCTTCATCTGGTCAATCCTATTCCAATCCCACTAGTAAAATGATTATTCTTGGTTCTTCCTCTTCTTCTTTTTTGGGTGTATTACTTATCCTAAGTATCAAAAATTATGATTTTGAGTAATCCCATGGTCTGTGATTGCTATTGTCATATTATTATTTTCCTAATCTTTATTAATTTATGTTCCATTTATTCTATTTCAGTCTTACTAATTTTTAACCCTTTTGTTTCTAATGCATTTCTCCAAGTTTATAATTTTGTTCCCGAGCTTTGCTTTGAAGTATCTAGCAACACTATATGTCGTCAACAAACAAAACGCGCCATAAGATGTCTGTTTGTATATCTTTCATTATTTCATCTAAAACTACTGTAAAGATGTATGGATTAAGTACTGATTCCTTTTTGTAGTCCAACTTTTATAGAAAAATCATAAGTTTCTCCACATATGGTGCAAACCCTAGTCTTTGTATCCTTAGACATATCCTTAATAATATTTATACGATTTAAAGGGACTCGTTTTCTATCTAACTACAAAATTATATCCCTTTGAACTCTATGATATGCCTTCTCTAGGTCTATGAAAACTATGTGTAGATCTGTTCGCTTACATCTGCATTCTTCTATCCCTTGCCTAAAGTAAATAAATGGCCTCCATGTTAGATCTTCCTAACAAGATAGTTTTTTTTTTTTATTTTTTTATTTTTTATTTTTTTCCCGTTCTGTGGTTAATATCATATATTAAGAAAGATATTCACTGTAATTTGACATGATAGATTCTTCTTTCCTTTTTCTTTCATCTCTTATTGCATAGTTTCACTTTCTTCTTTCTGTTGTTTATGAGTACTCTGATATTCTTATTTTAGATTGCAAAATAGCTCTTATGAAAGCAATGCTGCCGGTTTTGGTTTTATGGGATAAGTCCTAATCTGGCTAGAATATTTTATTTCTTTCTACATGATAAGTTTTCTTGATATGCTCCGTGTAAGGCTTATCATACAGTAGAATATTTTATTTCTTCCTGGACTAAATTTGTGAAGAGTGTTATATGTGGTACTGTTTTTCGTTAACCTCCCTACTTCATTTGCAGCTATCGGATGGGCCCATTGTTGCCTTCACTGTCCTTCACAATGTGAACTGTAGTCATGGGCTTATATATGTTACCTCTCAGGTTAGATAATATACGTACTTCAGCTCAAATTTTCCTCAGTCATACTTCTTTATTAGTTATTACATCATTCTTTGTTTTAGGGTACATTGAAAATTTGCCAACTGCCGTCTGGATTGTCCTACGATAACTTTTGGCCAATACAGAAGGTAAGAAACCACACTTTTTTTTTTATCATTTATCTATGTATTTATAGTCATTTTCATTTAAGATAGTGGTCATTCTAATATTGTTGTGCTCACTTGAGAGTAATATTTTGGCAGATTCCATTGAAGGGAACTCCACATCAAGTCACTTATTTTTCTGAGAGTAATTTATACCCTCTTATAGTTTCAGTTCCGGTGAGTGGATTCTCTTTCTGTTCCTTGGATCAGCAATGTACTCATACTGTTTCGTGTAGCTAATACAGCTTGGAGACACATGCACACATCCCCCACATCCACAGTGACCTATAACAAGTATTTTTAACACAAATTTCTCACTTCCACTAATAATCTCCTGATTTTCGCATAGTCAAATCTTTTGCTGGATCTTCACGATGACATAAGCTTTTGCCTTAATCCGAACCACGTAAATCTTTGCATTCTTTGGCGCTGTTTGATAAATCTGAAAATTAAGAACTGAAAATTTTAAGAGCTGAATTTTAAGTGCTGAAGTTTTTAAGTGGTAATTAAAAAATAAATGTTTTTTAAAAATATTTTTGAATTTTCAGCGTTCAGTATTCAGCGATAAGTGTGTCCTTGTCACTTAAAATTTTACCTCCTTTTAAGTGGCGCTTACTGCATTCAGTGATATTCAAATTCCGTTACCAAACGCGCTTTACTGGATAAGCACTTAATTGAGTTTTCAAACAACACCTTGCGTGTTTACTTTTCTATCGTGATTCTTGTTTTGTTCTTGGTTTTGTTGCGTTTGTCATAACAGAGTGGAATTCAGTAGACCTGTATTTGCCCTTTAGTCATTTTGAACTATAAAGTTCCTGTTGTATTTTTTTAATGAGCATTTGCTGTATTTCTTAATTTCCCTTGATTATGTAATTCTTCTGTAAATGCATCCTAAAACAATCTTCTAAAAATGTTACTTCCATTTCAATAATACATTATTGCTATCTATATTTCTTATTTTTTTGAGGCATAATAAATGTAGTGGACTTCATATTTTCCTTTTTACTTATTTTAAATTTTCAATGCTATTTCTGTCAATTATGCAGGTTCTTAAGCCATTGAATCAAGTCCTCTCATCTCTTGTTGATCAAGAAGTTGCTCATCAGATTGAGCATGATAATTTGAGTTCTGATGGAACCTACACCATAGATGAATTTGAGGTCCGGATTATGGAACCGGAAAAATCAGGTGGTCCCTGGCAAGTTCGGGGTACAATTCCTTTGCAAAATTCTGAAAATGCACTAACTGTCCGAGTGGTTACCCTATTTGTAAGTTTAGTTTTGTTATTCCAGCTGCTTATATAGATATCACAGATAAAACGATCACCAATGCCTTTACTCAACTATTTGGGGTCGGCTATATGAATCCTATGTTTCCATTTTACTTTATTTAAGGTCATGACCTTCGTCAAACTGCATGGTATCTTTCCTTACTAACTCTACCCACGTTAAGTTTGGCCTTCCTCTTTTCCTAGTATTACCCTCAATGTGCATTATGTTACTCTTCCTAGCTAGCTCATGGTTTTGTTTGCACGTTTACACTATCTTTACCGATTTTCTCTCATTTTATCTCCAATTGGTGCTACTTCAACCATCTCCCGAATGTGATAATTTCTTATTCTATCTAGGGATGTCAATTTAATCCGCCCCATCCAGCCCCTATTGAGATGGGTATGGGATCTTCCTCTCGCACCCACCCACAGAGGTTGTCACAATCACTCCCCATGGGGCCCAACATCTTCGTTGGCCATATTTCCAGCTGGGCTCTAGCTCTTATACCATTTGTAACAGCCCTCACCCTTCCTAGACACAATATTGTCCGCTTTTGACGCCCTCGGACTAGAGACTTCCCAGGAGGTCACCCATAGGTGCGCTTAACTTTGGAGTTCTAATGGGTTCACGGTAATCACGACTTTAAAACGCGTTGTGTCATAGAAGGGTGTTCAACCTACATATAGCACATCCCCTTTCCAAGGCGATGTGGGATCATGACACCCTGTAGCCTACCAGTGTGGTAGCTCGTCCAGTGTCTCGCACCCACCTGCATCACATTTTTATGATAATTTAAATTTTTTAACAACAATTTTGTTATTATGATTGTTAAGTAATTGTCTATACTTAAATTCTTTTCTAAAACTAATCTTGAATTTGTTCAACTTTGAATAATTTTTTTTTAAAAAAAATATGCATACCGGGGTGTCCCGAACCCTTCCTGAGTTCAACGTGGGTAGAGCGGGGTTTGGGAAGAGGTTTTTATTTGTGGTTGCTCTGAGAAGATGATAGTTTGTGTTGCTAGTGATATTAGAATCACCCTTGGTGATGAGTTTGTAGCTATGTTGGTTTAAGAACTGAAAAAGCATAGAATCTTGATCGATGAAATGCTAAGCACTGCCCAGGACACTCTAGTACAACAGGTTGGATGGTGGGTGAGATAGCTTTATTGACTGGCTGTCTTGTGATAAGGCTTAGAAGGGGCTTGTTTGTGATGAGGGAAGTGTGTTGGGGGATCAAAGGGACAGGTCTCTTGATTTAATGTTGTGGGAGGGGGAGGGACTGGAGGGTAATCCAAATTTGGGTGTGATTGATTACTTGTCTGTGGTGCAATCGAAAGGAATGTGGACAGGCACTACGAGGGAGGGAATGATATTGTTTCCTCATGAAGTTCCTAATTATTTCTTGGAATGTCCGTGGTCTTAATGGTCTGGATAATAAGAAGGTGGTGAAGTTGGCGATGAGGATGTGCGGGATTCATGTTGTCCGTTTGCAAGAATCGAAAGTTGCTTCGATGACGGATAGGGTGGTGAGGAGTCTTTAATGAGGGAGGTTCGTTGAATGGGAGGCATGGATGGTTTGTGGTCTTCCGGCAGCCTTCTCATCATGTGGGATAGGAGATGGGTGTCAAGGGTGGACACTTGGAAAGGGAGGTTCTCTATGTCATGTGCCTTAGTGATGGGAGGAGGAGGATGGTCTAGGAAGCACGGACACTCCAAAATGGGCGAAGAATCCGTGTCCGACACGTGTCGGACACGGACACGCCCCGACACGTGTCGGACACGCCAAAAAACGTGTCTGGAATTTTTTTATTTTTTTTAATTTTCGGACACGGCACGGACACGGCTCAGACAGCTCGGATACGGCTCGGACACGGCTCAGACATGGCTCGGACACACTTTTCTGGAATTTTTTTTTTTTTAATTTTTAATGCTGATATGTTAATTTTTTTTTTTTTTTTTTTTTTTTTTTTTTTTTTTTTAAATTTTTAATGATGATATGTTCTATTTTTTGTTTTGTACTACCCTAAAGATGCTGATATATATATATATACTAACCTAAAGATGCCACAATTCGCCGTTTCCGTGTCCTAAAGATGTTGATATATATATATACTAACATATCAGTGATATATATATATATTCCAACCTAAACATATCAGTGTTTTTTTAAAAAAATTATTAATGCTGATATATATATATATATATATATATATATATATATACTATTCGCCGTGTCTGTGTCCTAATTTTTTTGGATTTGCCGTGTCCGTGTCGTGTCGTATCCGTGTCCCATATCCGTGTCCGTGCTTCTTAGAGGATGGTTTTAGATGGGCCTTCTCCGGGGTTTATGGGCCGGTGGATTAGGGTGGACTTTTGGAGGGGGAGGATCGAGAGGTTCTCTATCTCTTGTGCTTTTGTTATAGAGGAGGATGGCTTTAGGTGGGCTTTCTCCGGTGTGTATGGTCCGGTGGATGATGGGGAGAGACACATTCTTTGGCACGAGCTCAACTTTGTGAGGGGGTTGTGGGCTCTCCCGTGGTGTGTTGGTGAGGACTTTAATGTGGTTAGATCCCTGTCAGGGAGATGTATAGGAGGAAGTTGGTCTTCAGCTATGGAACATTTCTCGAAGTTCATTGACGGCCATCACTTTTTTTATTTACCTATAGAGGGTGCGTCTTTCTCTTGGTTTAGTGGTAGGGAGACTGCTACTCTTTCTCGGTTGGATAACTTTTTGATTTTTGGGGATTGGGAGGAGAGGTTTCCTGATGTGGTCCAGGAAGCCTTGGTTAGACCGGTTTTTGATCATATTCTGTTGGTCTTAGATTGTGGGGGGTTGAGATCCTAAAGTACCCCCTTTCGATTTGAGAACATGTAGCTTAGAGTGGAGGATTTCCAGGGGAAAGTCCGTTCTTGGTTGGGATGAGGCTACAGTGATCCATACTCCGAGATTCATTTTGGCAGGAAAGCTTCAGTTCTTGAAGGTAGAAACTAAAAGGTGGAATAAAGAGGTGTTTGGGAATTTGGAGTGGGGGAGGAACAAGGCCTTTGCTGAGATTGCAGAGATTGATCGGTTGGAAGGAATGGGTGGTATTGTGGAGACTCAAAAGCGTCGGAGAGCGGAATGTCAGGCGGAGATTGCTTTTTCGGAAGAGATCTCGTGGTGTCAGAAGTCTCGGGCTTTATAGCTCAAAGAGGGTGATCGCAATACAAGGTTCTTTCATAGGTTGGCCAATGCTCAAAGAGGGTGATTCGTGTTGATTGGGTGGATTTTTGTAGATAGGAGGAGGTGTGTAGGGGGATTGCCTCATGCTATCAGAGACTTTACACTGAGACCTATAGTTGGAGACCCCGGCTTGGAGGTTTGCACTTCGATTCGATTTCTGATATAGATAGAGATGGTTTGGAGATTCCATTCACAAAAGAGGAAGTGTTGAAGGCGTTAAAAACTGTATTGGCGACAAAGCTCCGGCCCCAGCCCCGGATGGCTTCACTATGAGATTCTTATTGGAAAGTTGGGGTGTGGTCAGGGGTGAGGTGATGGGGACATTCCAGGAGTTCCACTTCTCATGGGCAGTTTGTGAAGTCTTTGAATGCAGCTTTCATCGCTCTCATTCCCAAGAAAGGTAGGGCTATTAACGTTAGGGATTTTAGACCTATTAGTTTGGTGGGGTGTATGTACAAACTTATAGCTAAGTCTTTGCTTCGAGATTGAGGGATGTCTTGGATGGAGTTATCTCAAAATCCCATAATGCTTTTATCAGTGGCCGTCAATTCTGGATTCTACTCTTGTCGACAGTGATTGTATGGACTATAGACTGAGTAGTGGTATTCCAGAAGTTCTTTGTAAGCTTGATATTGAGAAAGCCTACGATCATGTTAGTTGGAGTTTTTGTTGTACATGTTAGAGAGTTGGGCTTTGTGGAGAGATAGAAGAGGTGGATCGAGTTCTGCATTTCGTCTGTGAGGGTTTCGGTTCTAGTTAACGAGGTTCTGTCTAGCTTCTTTGTAGTTCTCGGGGATTCAGATAGGGAGATCGGAGATCCTCTCTCTTTTTTTGCTCATCATTGTCATGGAGGCTCTCAGTAAGTTGATGAGGAGGGATGTGGACTTGGGATTCATTAGGGGCTTCAGGGTGGGTAGAGATTTGGATCATCGGTTCGAGATCTCCCATTTGCTCTTTTTGGATGATACTTTGGTGTTTTGTGATGGAGATGTGTCCCGGCTGAGATAATTGATGTGTGTTTTGCTTTGCTTTTAGGTTGTCTCTAGCCCTAAAGTGAATGCGGGGAAGACCTCCTTAGTCCCGGTGGGGGAGGTGTAGGACATTGCCAATCTTGTCGCGGTCCTAGGTTGTGGGGTTTCTTCGTTCCCCATTTCTTATTTGGGTTTGCCGTCTAGAAGGGTGGGGGGATGGGACCATGTGATTGAGAGGTTTGAGAAGAGACTTGCCGGGTGGAAGAAGCAGTATCTTTCTAAGGGTGGAAAGGTCACCCTCATGAAAAGCACATTGTCAAGTCTTCCTACATATTTCCTCTCTTTCAAATTCCAGCCTCCGTGGCCGAAAGGATCGAGAAGCTCTAGGAATTTCCTTTAGGGTGGATTGGGGGATAAGTTCAAATATCATCTTGTTCGGTGGGAGCAGGTGTGCAAGTCTATTCAGATCGGTGGCTTGGGTATCAGGAGGGTGATCCCTTTTAATAGGGCTATGCTAGGGAAGTGGTTGTGGAGATTTGGAGGTGAGTGCCATCGATTATGGAGGGTCACCTCATGCCACTTTGGGGAGGAGAGAGGTGGGTGGTGTTCCCGAGTGGTTAGATCTTCTGGTGGCGTTGGTGTTTGGAAGTTTCTTTGGAAGGGTTGGGATGAATTTTCTAAACATATCAGATTCAGAGTTCGAGAAGACAGGGACACTCGGTTTTGGGAGGGCTTATGGTGTGGCGAGCGTGTGTTGGCTTCTTCGTTTCCAGTATTTTCAGAATTGTTGTTGACAGACATGCATGGGTGGCCGACTGTTATTGACTTGCTAGCGGGAGGATCAATTGGGATGTGTGTTTTCGGCAACAGTTTCATGATTGGGAATTGGACAACGTTTTTGACTTGCTGGATCTGCTGTATAGACAGACGCCGGATGGGGGAGGCCCTGATTCCCTTATTGAGGTGCCCTCCCTGAGGGGAGATGTGATGTCCGATCCTTTTTCTGCTGCCTTTTAGGTTTCTCAAGGGCTTCTGTTCCTTGGAAGACGGTTTGGAGCTTGAGGGCTCCTCTCAAGGTGGCTTTTTTCGTTTGGACTGCAATTTGGGGCAAGGTTCCAACTCTGGATAACCTCGAAGAAGAATATAGGTAACGGTGTATTGGTGTTGCATGTGCAAGAGGGACGGAGAGCCAGTGGATCATATGCTTTTGCATTACATTGTGGCTCACGAGTCACGACTGTTGGAGTTTGATTTTTGGTTTGTTTGGTATGTAGTGGGTCATGCCCCGGTTTTCGAGAGGTTTGATTAACTCTTGGAGAGGGTGTGGTGTGGGTTCTCACTCTCTTCATTTTTGGAGGGTGGCATCCCTCTGCGTTTGGTGGTGTGCATCTGGAAGGAACGAAACAATAGATCTTTTGATGGGGAGGAATCTCCTATAGGAGGAATGTTTAAATACCGCATTATTTTATTTTATTTTTTGATAAGTAAAGATCTATAAACAAACATGCTCAGAGGGGAGCGAACCCTTACAAAACAAAACAAAAAATGCAAACGCGTCAATATAACGATAAGTTGTCAACAAAATCCAAAAAACAATCTACAGATGGGCAGTTTTTCCCATTAATCCAAGAATAAAGAGAATGCAAAATGTTCGCCTTGATAACCCACACTGACGATTCCTATCCTTCGAAAGATGTCCTATTCCTCTCATGCCACAACCCCCACCAAATACAAAGAGGTGCAACCCTCCACGCCTTCCTAACCCAACTTTCTACTCTATTCCCTCCAAGCTTCTAACATATCTCTTGTATTACTTGACACTACCCATTCCACCCGAAAAACATTCAACATCAGACTCCACACATCCGCTGCCACTCTACAATGCAACAAGAGATGATCAACCGATTCACCTGCCTTCTTACACATGCAACACCAATTAACTGTTATTTGGCGTCTTTTTCTGAAATTATCCAAAGTAAGAATGCTGCCAAGCGCCGCTGTCCATGTGAAAAAAGCCACCTCTATTGGAGCTGAAGTCCTCCAAATAGCCTTCCAAGGAAACCCGTTGCTCATCGAACTCGTAAGACTTTTATAAAACAGCCTCACCTTAAAGTTAAAATACCGCATTATTAGTTGCCTTTTCTGTTGGGGGATGGGAAGATATTGTACATCTTTAGAGGAGATTGTTGGTCTTTTGGGCTCTTTGGGTCCTTAAATCCCTCTTTTTTCTTTTTATAGGCTCTTGCCTTTGTGTATTCTTGGGATGCGTTCTTTTGTGTATTCTTGGGATGTGTTCCCCTTTTGAACGCTTTCTAATACATTTTTCCTTATAAAATAAATAAAAAAAGTAGTAAATAGCCTTCATCTCTGAGTCTCTGACCTTTCCGGCACAAATCTAAATTGATTTACCAACACTTCAGTCTCTTGTCTTAGGCGTTGTCAATCACTCTCTCCCAAAGCTTCATATATATGGCTTAATACCACGATAATTATTACAACGTTTTATGTCCCCTTTATTTTAGTATATAGATATTAGAATATTTTTTCGCCACTCATCAGTCATTCTCTTACTATCTTGTTAAACAATTTCATTAACCAAGGCAAGTCATCCTCTCTTAGGGACTTCCAAGCCTCAATGGGAGCACCATTGGGTCCTAAAACCCTTCTTGATTTCATCTTCCTTGGGCATTTCTAATCTCACACTCCTTGACCCTACCCTACCAAAAAATATGGTATCCCTACGGTTACTAAATATTATACTAAGTATGAACTTCCTAGATAATTTTCATTAACAATTTCTCAAAATAACTTTTCCATCTTTCTTTAATTTCACCATCTTTTACTAAAACCATTGAATCCTTAGCTCTTAATCCCTTTAGTATGGCTAAAATCTCTAGTTTTCCTCTCCCTTATTTCAGCAAGTATATATATATATATATATTCGTCTCCCCGTCTTTTGTGCCTAGTATAGAATAAAGATCATCATATGCACTAGGTTTTGCTTCACTTATTACTTTTTAAACTTATTTACATTTTTGTATTTTTCAAATGTTTCACTATTTTTAGTTTTTTGGCCAAGTTTTAAAGCATTTCTGTTATGTTTTTATTAAGTTTTGGATGTTTATTCAGCCACCAAGTTTCCTTAGATAATGGTCTGATACCGTTTGATTCACCTAAGACATCTTCTGCTACTATTTTAATACATGTAGACTTGTAGTCATCTTATTTCACATTAAATTTGTTTCATCTTCTGTAGTCCATGTTGCTTCTTTTAATGTTCTATTCTTAAATAAATCCTACTCTCTCCCCTCTTAAATTCCACCGCCTAGTTCTTGGGCTTATAATTCTATTTCTCCTTTTAGGTTGTCCTTTTATATACACATCTAAAACAAGTAGCCTATGTTGTGATGTTTAAACTCTCTCCTGGGATAACCTTACAATATTTGCATGTTAATCTATCTACCTTTTTATTAAAAAGAAATTAATTTGTCTCATATTTGATCCTCTTTTAAAGGTTATTAAATGTTCATCTCTCTTTTTAAAATTTGTATTCCTAATTATAAGATTGTATGCTGCTGCTGCAAAATGTAAGATAGCCTCCCTAACATCATCTCTATCTCCAAATCCACGTGCACCTTGTACCATCTTGTATCCTCCACAATCTTTTCGTAGGCTATATTTTTACACTAATAGAGAAGGAGAAATATGAAAGGAACTCACCTGATGACCATTAAAGTCTCCTCCTATATACTCCTTTGGTATCCCTTGAATTAATTCATCCATATGTTTCCAAAATTGTGTTTTAGTATGTTCATCTAGTCCTACTTGGGTTGAGTAGGCGCTAACTATATAAACTATATGTCCTAATGCAATTTTAATAATACCATCCTGTCCTCCTTTCTAATAACATTTACATCATCTTCTTTTAAATTCTTATTAGTGATTATCCGTACTCCATTTCTATGTCTATCCTTTCCAGTGTAGTAAAGATTATATCCTTCAATTTCTCTAGCTTTTGCACTTACACCCACTTAGTTTCTTGTAGACATAATATATTAATCTTCCTTCAAATCATAGTGTCTACCAACTCCTTCCCTTTACTCGCCAATGCTTCTATATACCAATTCCCTATCCTAAGCCTACTATACTGGGCTTACTTTCTTACCCATGTTTGTCAAGAAAAACGCGGGAACCCTTGCCTACTTTTTACCGCATCCAGGCGCCGATGTGGCGCCCTTTGCCAATTTATCGAATTATCGAGAAGCTGATGCAACACTTCGCTTAAGGGGGACATCCTAGCATTTACTCATATATTCATAGCATTCATTTTAATAATGGTCATGACAAAAGTTTTATGCTTTCTTTCAAGCTACTTGCCTCCTCCTTTATCCGGACTTGGAACCGGCTGTGTAAAGATACACTGGCTGAGTTATTTATATAATTGTTATGTATATTTTCTATATTGGTTTTTCCCCCCTATTGTGTGTTTATGATGTGGGATTAAAGTTTTCAAGACAAAAATGTTGTTTGATTGACTCTTTCTTCTTATGCTATGCTTCATTGCAGAATGTCAAAACAAAAGAAAATGAAACACTTTTGGCCATTGGAACTGCTTATGTGCAAGGGGAGGATGTTGCTGCAAGGGGGCGTGTCCTTTTGTATTCTGTTCAAAAAAATTCTGATAATCCTCAGGCTTTGGTAACCATTTAAATTGTTTTGATGTTTTCCTGCCTAGGCCAGTTCTACTTCATGTTGCCATAATAAAATTCTACCACCTTATTTACCTGTCTTTTCCATTCTTACCTTCTCTGAGTCCTCACTTAAGGGCATTTGATGCATTGCTCAATTAACTACTACACTTTTTAGGTTTCAGAGGTTTACTCAAAGGAGTTGAAGGGTGCTATATCTGCTCTGGCTTCTCTTCAAGGTCATTTGTTGATAGCTTCTGGTCCTAAGATCGTCTTACACACGTGGTCGGGGTCTGAGTTGAATGGTGTTGCCTTTTATGACGTTCCACCTCTTTATGTCGTGAGCTTAAATATTGTATGTTTCACTTCCTAAAGTAAACTGTCTCTTCAGTTATATTCTAGTAATGTTTCTGACTTGCTACTTTTTCATCAACATGAGTGGTATTACAACTACAACATGATTTTGAAATTCATGCTAGATTGTCAAGCTGTTTTTGAACATTACTTATTGTGACAGTCTGAAGGAGCGACTATCTGAACTCTTAGAAAATATAAGAAAGACTAATATTTTTTTTTTTTTTTTTGATTCATTTCATTTAAGAATTGGATATTCATCTGCATTTAGTTATGTGTTTGTGCCTTCAAATTTTCTCACCTCGCTAAAATTTAAGACTCATGCCACTTCTTAGTGTCATACATGTCTGGGAATCCGACAATTTCTAGACACTCTTGAACATGTTTTTGTCACATCTTAGATGTCTCCATAATGTAAAAATAAAATTATTTTTTTTGTTCAAATTTTTGGCACTACTTGGACACTTTCCAACATGTGACTGAAGAATCTTTGACTACCACATATAGACATCCATGGGTACTTATGCTGCGCTATCCTTGCTATGTTTAAAGGCAAAAGGAGTGAGATTGTTATGTTTAAAAAGTGGTCAATTACCTATTTCATCCTAAAATGTTAGATTTAAGTAATGTTTTTCATATATAATATCATCCAAAAATTTATTCCTTTATTGCCATGTTCTTCTTGTATCCGTGTTACATTAAAAATGTTTGTTGTTCCAGCATCTCCTAGTTTTATCATATCCATGTCAAATGGTGTGTCCAGCTTAATTGGTTATAGAAACTGTTGGATCTTGTCAATTGCTGCACCCCAATTGCAGCTTTAACTGTCAATGGTTTGCAAGAAATATGATCAATTTTGAATACTTTTCCACCAGTGATTGACTTTATAATTTGTAACTTAAGACATGTGAATATTTTGTTGTTATACTCTTATTGGCCTTCATTAGTAGCAATTTATTCTAAATTTGATCAATTTTCTGATGACGCTTTTGTAAACTTTGTATCCGATTGGGCTAAGGGATGGTAAAATTAATTAATTCTTGCCTGTTAAATCATGTGCTCATTACTGAATCCATTGTTTTTCCCCTCGTGACTCATTCAATTTATGCAGCGTGCTATTTATTTTGATTCACTTGTGTCTTTAAATGATATTCCTCTGTTATGCTGTTAAATGTTGCAGGTTAAGAATTTTATTCTCCTTGGGGACATCCACAAAAGCATATACTTTCTTAGTTGGAAGGAACAAGGTTCTCAACTTAGTTTATTGGCAAAAGATTTTGGTTCGCTTGATTGTTTTGCTACAGAGTTTTTGATTGACGGAAGCACCCTGAGTCTTATTGTTTCAGATGATCAAAAGAATGTTCAGGTTAGTGTCCTTGTAGTTTCAGATGATATGTTCAAATTAGTGTCCTTGTAGTTTCAGATGATCATATATGTTCAGGTTAGAATCTATATGAGAATCTATCATCTTTGCATTGGCTCTTATAATTTGAAACAATCATCATGTATGGTGCCATGTAGGGCTGAGTGGGGGCGGCTGCCCCCACTGAAATTTCTTCAATATACATATTACATTTCTAATTTTGTCAAAATTCTAATATTGCCCCCACTAATTTTTTTACAAAACCCCTTTATGCATACTTGCCTCCAAAACCCGCCACAACCGTCCCCCCTCTCTCTCTCTCTCTCTCTAAACTTCACAGTTTCAACTTTTCTACGTTTGAATCTCTCACTAAAGTCAACTCTTTCTCCTCTCTAACATTTTCTCTAAAATCTATTTCATTCTTTATATTTCCCATTGATTGTACAGACGATTTTGAAATCGGAGATTTAGAGAATGATGAAGAGTTTTATCTCTCTCTCTTCTTGTTCTCCTCTCTCGTCTCTCTTCCGCAGTTTTGCACAACTTCACGTGCATTCAAATGTAATATTTCTATCAATTCACACTGAGAAGCTGATCAGAGAGCTCAATTTGTTTCCTAAGGAATCGATCAACATCATCGATCACGGTGACTCTCTGTTCTGATCAAAAGTTTGCAATCAAATTGGATTTAATCTAACTGATTATTGAAACTCTGAGATTGACCCATATCCCTTTGAATTAGCAGTGTTGGTCTTGTTAAACTGTCCTACTTGTAGCTTGTTTACCTCTTTCTTGCTCTAAACTTGTTATTGTTTCTCTAACCAACTAAATTTTTGTTGATATCCCGGGCTGCTTGGATATGGATTGGCCACAAAATTTCTAAGACTGCCTTTAATTTTCATTTCAGTCTACCAAAAAAATCCAAGATTAATCATATCAAGTTTGTGAGTTCCCAATTTTATATTTTTCTTTCTAGAGTAGAAAATTTATGAGTATACATTATTCATGCTAGAATTGTTTTAATTTGAATTGCTTTTAATATGTTAGCTTGATAATAATTGAAATGGGAGTATTTACCAAAAAATAATTGAAATGGAAGTATGACCAATTTTAAATGAAAATATTTATACTGTTAAAGTTCTTTTGGTTATTACGGTAATTTGAAAATCTTTTATCTTATTACTCTGTTCAAGGTCGCCCCCTCTCAAATCATTTTCTGGTTCTGTCACTGATGATCAATAGTAGTTTTGTTTTGTTTGGTTTGCATATGATTAAATCATTTTTGCTGTTGTGAAAATTGTGGTAAATAAAATCAGTTTATGTTCATTCTTTTCAACATTAAATGTTTTTGCCAAATAGGGGAAGACAAATAAACCATGAACATTTTTGTCTCTCCTTTTCTCTCCATCAGTTTGGCAGTTTCTTACATATGGGATAGGGGGTGGTAATAATTCAGAACACGTTAAGGATTAAAAAGATGTCACTGGATATCAGTGTTGATTCTAATATGTGTACAGAGATTGGCACATTCATACATATTAAATTTTGATATTCTGGAATAAAAAATAACTTCAGGAATTGGTAAAAGATTATGATTATTTTTTATTTTCTTTTTTGGGTAAAAAAGATAGATTTCTAAACAGGATTTTCAGATATGTAATAAATTCAAAGAAGAATTATAATTTATAATTTTAGTAAAAGGTCATTGCCTGGTCCCACCAATGGGAGTTGCTAGGAGCCCTGGGTATGCACGTATCCTTGACATTATTTGCACTCCGTGACTGCCCTCGGATTTGAATTCAGGTTCTGACTTTTGAGTTAACAGTCAGCTTTTCCATTGCATTAAGCAGTGGCCTCTTAACAGAATATCAGATATTGTAAATGAAAACTTATGTGTTATAGATGTGCAGTATAAATGGTTTAGTAAATTGCTACATGCATGAATAGTATAAAACACATGTTCCGTTCAAGCCTCCGTATATCCTGTAATATATTAGACTTGCAAAGGCGTTTGACTTGCTAAATAAATTGTTGCAGAATTAGACAATATTTTGCTTGTGGACCAAGGGCCTAGGATGTGATGGAAATTGATTAATTATAGTTTCTGTTGCCTTCATTGGCTAATCTTAAATCCAAGTAATTTGAGCTTTTATTGTCCATCTGTTTTAAGGGTGTTTTTGGTTGTCCCTAATGGTTGACTATTTTGCATGCAAAATGCAGATATTCTATTATGCGCCAAAGATATCAGAAAGTTGGAAAGGACAGAAGCTTCTTTCAAGGGCTGAATTTCATGTTGGTGCTCACGTGACTAAGTTCTTGCGGTTACAGATGCTTCCTGCTTCATCAGATCGAACGAATGCTACTCCAGGCTCTGACAAAACCAATCGGTTTGCTTTATTATTTGGAACACTGGATGGCAGCATTGGCTGTATTGCACCTCTTGATGAACTAACATTTCGTAGGCTTCAGTCGCTTCAGAAAAAGCTTGTTGATGCTGTTCCCCATGTTGCTGGACTAAATCCAAGATCTTTCCGTCAGTTCCATTCAAACGGAAAAGCTCATCGGCCAGGCCCTGACAGCATAGTGGACTGCGAGTTGCTTTGCCGGTAAGTTCTTCTGTTTTCTTCCAGACATTTCTGATATCTGAAACAGAAAAGATTTCATTTCCATGGTGGAATCATCTTCCATTTAGATTTCTTCACAGGTATTATGCTGTGTTTGGTAAGAGCGATAGAAATTTTGGGGAAAGCTAGGAATAATGGAAGAGATATCTCTCCTAACAGAAGGAAATGGTTTTTCCTCCTCTTATTTGGCTGAATAGTAATGGAAGACTGAAATAAAGCAGTGTTTATTGCTTGTGTTGTTTAAATGCAAAAACAAAAAGTAAAAGTGGAGCTCTTTCTCTCGTCCTTCCCGTCCACTCTTGGGATGAAAAGTTCGATGGGTCTGGCCGGGGGACAACACCCTGACCCCCTTCCTAGTCTTTTTTCTTCTTTCCTTTCGTACCAAACCATGGATACTCCTCCATTAAAATGTTATATCAGTTTTATAGGATGTCCAAAGGCGCTGGCATCCAATGACATTGATCGAATAGACATTACGTGATATGTGCTTCGAAACTCCAGTACTTGATAGAAACTCTTGTTTCCTTGATTCTACAGTTATGAGATGCTCCCATTGGAGGAGCAGATTGAGATTGCGCAACAGATTGGAACGACCCGTTCGCAGATTCTGTCAAATTTGAATGACCTCACCCTGGGAACGAGCTTCTTGTGACGACATTCTAGCCTGTCAGATTGCAGTTCAGAGAAATCTGTAAAATAGCCCAACTGTACAAGCAAGCTTTGCTTCAATCAGCTAAACCAAAACTTGTATGTATATCCTAACAACATGTTGTCCCATTGTTGTATTTTTAATTGGATCCCTTGTATTATTTCTTGGATGAGTTGAGTCAATGTGATCTAATTGATTTTGTTGGTTATTGTTTTTATTGTTGTTGTTTGTCATAATTACAGAAACCAAATTTAGTTTCACAATATGTTTGTCAGTCGTCAGTGGGTTATTGAGGGTCACAATGTATTTTGCTGATGTTGTCAATTTGAAATGCCAAATTTGCTCTCGTAATGCCATGCAATGATGGTTTAATCCTTGGAAAGTCGCATGAAATTTACCTTAATAACAGATTTCAGTAGATAAAAATACCCTCGCAAGTTAAAACTTAAAACTGAACCATCCCTTCCATGTTTTTTTTTTTTTGTTCTTCCTCGTTCTTTTCACCATTTCAAAAACCCTGATATATATTTCATACATGTATGTACATTATACGATTTGTACATATACACACAAGTATATTGTGTAATCTCTAGTGAGAGCAAAGAATGGTGGTTTAACCAAGAATGAGCCCGTAGAAAATCCCGCAACCATCACCAAGTCTCTGCAACTGCAAACCCTCCATTTAGTCCATTCCTTCTCCACCAAACTTAGTATTGTTGGTGAACTTGGAACTCTCTGTTCTCTCCCAAAGTTGTCAACCACCCTTTAGTGGTGACTAATGAATTTTTCACCTATTATCAAAGAAATTATGTCTCATAGAGGTTCCGTGGCATTACAACAGCCCCATGTAAATATATATATATATATAAACTCAGTTTACATGTTATCTCAATTCATGTAAATATATATATATATATATATATAAACTCACGTTTAACATGTTGTCTCAGTTCGTATAAGGGGGTGGGGGTTTTATTTTATATACTCCGTATAAAACTGGGGAATACAAGACAATGTCCAAGTAAGGAGTGTTTAGCAATATTACTGAGCTTGTGAACTCACCTTACTATTATTATTATTATTATTATTTTTCAGGTTTTCATTGAGGCACGTGATAGGGATGGAGACCGTCTTTTTATTATTATTATTTTTTGTTCTGTTATTTTTGTTACTAATAGTTGATACTCATGTAATGAGGATGATACTTTTGATGCGATGTTCTTGATGTAATGAACTTCATCAGAATTAATGGAAGTATCGGTCGGAGAATTGTTTTTATTTATGTCATGCGGAGTGTTATATGTAAGTCTAAAGTATAGGACATAATTTTTCATTAATTAACATGTTCAAATTCGCAATATCATATAATTATAATGATAATGATAATAATAATAATAATATTTAATTAATGGATTATTATTGAGAGGTATATACAAGTTGATCTATTTTTTTTTTTTTAGAATAACACCCTCTCAAATTTGATAAAGTTAACAAAGACATGAAATTGCCTTTTTAATCTCTACAAATCATTTTATTTGACTAAACTAACATCTCTATTCTTTACTTCATTTTTTATCTACCAAACTATATAATATATGTAGACCATTATTTGCCTCACCTCACGTAGGGATGGCAATGGAGTAGAGTTGGGGTAGGTTTGGCTAAATCTTATTCCGCCAGATTAAAAATTTATCATATCAACTCCACCTTTATTCCGGAACGGATTTATAATTGTTATATCATCTCCATCCCTACTCCAGTTAACAAAATACCGACTCCGCCCCACGTACTTCGTTTAATTATGTGATGCGGTGGGGTGGGTTGGGTAATGATACTTTTATTATGTGTAAAAAAAAAAAAAAAAAAAAAAAAAAAATAATAAAAATAAAAAACACTACTAATTCAATGTGCTCAAATTAGGCTGATAAATAAGCTGGTCCAACTTTTAAATTACAAAGTAATGAATAGTAATATATTAACACACTTCTAGTAAAGTAAGAGAAGTCTTACCAACAGGTCAGTGACCTAGCTGTATTAAGCCCCTACTTCTCAAAAAGAAGTCAGGGGTTCGAACCTCAATGGAGGCATGTGTGTGTGAGTATCCAATTAAAAAAAAAAAGATACAAGAGTCTTAAAAATATAAAATACATTTATATATATAAAAAAAATTAAAAGGTACATATATAATTAGGGCGGGATCATCACTAAATCCGCCCTATCCCAAACCCATTTTGAGTTTTTAATTATTTTATAATACCCATCCCAAATCCATGGGTCTCTAAATCCACCCCATTAAGGGCGGGGGCGGGGCAGAAACCCGTCGGGTTGGAGGAAATTGCCATCTCTAATGTCACATACTATTTAACTAATATTAACATAAATATTATAACAATCATATATATATATATATATATTAACATAAATATTATAACAATCACACTTATATATATATTGCAAATTCAATTATTTACTTTGAATATTTTGTAGTAGTACTAGTTACCTGCCAAGAATATATATACATCAATTATGTCAATTAGATAAGACCATAACCATTCCTTTTCACTTAATTATCAAGGGCAAAATAGTCTTTTAGTTAATTTGTTATTCTTTTATTAAAAAGTTTTAAATAAATGAGGACAATTTAAATATTTTATAACACGTGTATGTACAAAAACTGACAGGAATGTCATTATTAAAAAAAAGGACTAACAAAGGGTGTCATTATAATTAATTAATTATCATAACCCCACTATTTTTTTTCCTCATATTGGAGGAATTCAAACAGGATATTATTTTTGAAATAAGAGTGTAATCATGACAAATGCGGCTAATGAAAGTAGTTTATCTTTTTTGTTGGAGGGTTGGGTTGGGCCTTATTTGAAGTGTTTTATGACAAATTGGACAGGAGATAAGTCTAATTTACCCTTCTTTGGATTGTTTTGGGGGACCATTTGAAGTGTTGTCTGATCTCATCATATTGTATGGTACAATTTGTTCCTTTATTATGTGGACCAGATTAGTTCGATTTGTCAAATAACCCAAATGAAGAAAATGTTGTCTTAAACCCTCATTGGTGAATCCCTAATCTTTTTATATTGAGCTCTTGGAGATGACCACATACTTAGAATTGTGGTTATGGCATCATCTAAATTCAACCTGACTCAGATTCCTCTTTCTTTTTGAGGTTTTAACCATAATCATTACATCTACTTATCTAGAAGATATTTAATGTAACTAGCATGTAATGTTACTGGAATAACCCCACTCAATAAAAATATATTAATCTCACTTATTTTAGAAATTATTCACAACTAACTATTATAATGAAAATGATTTTCATTGGCCTAATCAATGCCATGGTATGCTGCCAACACACCAAATAACTACTTCGCTTATATACCTATTTATAATATTCTCTTCGCTTATATACCTATTTATAACATTCTCAATTTGTTATTTGGGGTGAGTTCAACTGACCCTACCTAAGGCTGTTTTGAGTTTCAAAAAAAATATATGCATTTTGAAGCAAGGAGAACTTTCACGTTTTCAAACGAGAAAGGATAACTTATCTTATTAAACACGTGGCATTATATGATTGGCATTACTTAACCTGTAGAATTCGGATTTTTTTTTAGTAAAACTTGTTCATCAAACTAGAATATGTCAAAAAGTGTGATATTGTTGTCCGAATGGTAAAAGGTTAGGTCTTTAGTGCCCCCACCCTATTGATCTTAGGTTCGATTTTCTCTTCCCCAACTAACTACTAATCATTTCTAAGCAAAAATAAATAAAAAATTTAGAATATGTCAAAGACCTAGAGTTGTAGTAGTGATGTAACTTCTATCCCATATTAGTAGTCTCATTTGAAAAGAAAAAAAAAAATAATAAAATGGGAAAGAAAAAAAGAAAAAGGGAATATGTAATTAATGCATTATACCTTTTTAAAATTACCAAGTTATCTATTCAAGTTTGAATTTGTATATATAATAAAGTTGAAATTTTACTCGTATTTTGACTTTTTAGATTAAATAAGTATTTTGAAATAGCTTAAAAAGAAAAGATGGACAACTAATATACGACCAAATGAGTATCGCAGGAGCCTTCCGTATAGATGGTTGAAATTTAAAATTTCTATAAAGGTCAAGTGGCCTGTGAATTATTTTTTAAATAAAATAACAATAATAATAAAGGAGTATATAATTTTAAACAAAAACTGAGCTTCACTTTAGAATTTGTAATAATGGTGGAACATTCCTTGTGGGTCCCAAGTTGGACTTCTATCGAATTTAATAATATCAGTGGAAAGCTTTATACATATTACATGAATTACAAATAATTTCCACTTAACAATTTTCACTAACCATTGGCAATTTAAATGGATTTTGAGAAATACTAAAACATCCAACGGCTAATATATATATTCACCTCCATACATCTCTATATTTGTTTCCCTACGAAATAGGTGTATATGTGGCGCGGGGTGGGCCACATCCACGTGCGTGTGATAGAATGATTCGGTCCTCCGTGTACCTACAATGATGATGACACACGTGCGCATAGTTCATCAATAGGGCGGGGGAGCTTGTGCATTCTATGTGTTTCTAACTGTGTGTTTGTGTGTGTTTGGGTTGGTCCCAACCCCCTTCAAGGAATGTCCAGCAAAAGTGAAACACAACTTCCATTGCGATGAATGAGAGGCCCATAGTTTGTTTTGTATCTCTTCACGCGCATTTGCTTCTTTCAATATAATATAATATTATATATATATATATATATATATATATGTATGTATGTATATGTATAAAACAAAACCTCTCTTGGGACTCTTAATTCCAAAAGCACTTAATAGTGGGGATCATAGTAATGCACACTTAGGTCCCCATCAAGAGAGAGAGAGGCAAAATGAGTGTAAGAGAGAGCTTGAAAAGGGCAAGGCCTAAATGAGTGAGTGTGCTTTTGGCATGAAAAGAGAGCCTCTCATTTCTTCTTCAAGTGCCTTGTATCTAAACCATGCATTGTGGCCATGGTTCCTCGAGTCAACTCGGCGAGGCGGGCCATGCCGAGGTGAGTCACACGACCGAGTTTTCCTTTTGGCAGCATAGAGTGTGTTTACCGACCAAATTAAAGTCACACTTGAATTTCTAACTTTATCATCCTTTTGTTTTCTTTATTTATTTTATTTTATTTATTTTTTGTTTTTCTAACTAT